ACAGTTTTTGTGGCCACGTGGCTAGCGTGACCAGACACGGAACGCTGTTACCTTCCCACCAAGGTGGTACATATTTATCTACTTGCATTTTTACATGCTTTTAAATTGCTAGGTTGGCAGGAGCTGGGACAAGCCACGGGAGCTCACTCTGTCACGTGGTGTCACAAGTTCAGCCTAAGAAGATCTGGAATCCGAGGGGTTAATCACAGCTGAGGAGAATGCTGGGCAATCAGAATTGCAGGCAGCTGAATCACCACCAGATTCTCCTCCCCCAGTAGCCAGAGTGAGGGAGAAGCTTCGGCAAGGACTCATGACACAAAGATCCGAAGCCCGCATGAATGCTTCCCATAGGAACATCAGGTTGACGAGCCTGGAGTTTTAGCAGGATGAGGTGTTTAGATGATTGCTGTTGCTATAAAATCTGCGCCCAGAGGCTTGCAAACTTGTGGAAGCAACAAGGCAACTCCCTGGCTCGCATCCACACTCCTGCTCATCTTGGACCTTGTTTTCTGGACCCTTATCTTTGGACTTTGACTATGGTTTGTGTTTTGGCTCTGGCATTTTGGTATCTGTTTTGCATCTAGTGGACTTCTGATATTGGACTGGTTTATTGGACTTTTGCCTGTTGAAACCCCTGGAAACGTGCATGTCAATTTGATCTTACGACTGCAGATCTTCTGACTTTGTGGCACAGACGCTTCTGCGGTTTAACCTGCAGTGCCACCACATCCCTTATGTATGTAATACATTATTGTTAATAATAAGAGTTACATGCTGTCATGTCAATTCCAACTTGTGTTGATTCTTTCCAAAGTTTTCTAGGTAGAGAGTGCTCAGAAGCCGTTTGCCATTCCCTTCTTCTGGGTTGCTTTGGGAACTATGCACCTTGCCCAAGGCTACACAAGCTGCTCCCCGCCCCCCAAAAAAGGAATAGTGGGGAACTGAAATCTCAGCCTCTCATTCCACAGCCAGATACCTAGCTTATTGAGCTATCCAGCTACAATATAATTAAGGAAGTTATAATTGTTTAGATTTCCCTCATATTTCTTCCTCAGGATGATGCCACAACTTACCCTCTTCCCTGGTGACCCAGAAGGACCTGGCTCCCCAGAAGCTCCAGGAGGTCCCTGAAATAATGGTTAAAAGAGAGATTATTTATGAGCACACCCAGGCTGCATTTTTAGTGACATAGCTACTTGAAGTTTCATAACCTCCCCGCACCCCACTCAAATTTTCACTTTGGCAAAACATTTGAGAATTCAGTTAAGTCTCACTACAACTTCCATCGAAAAACTGTATACCTGTCCATCCATCCATCCATCCATCCATCCATCCATCCATCCATCCATCCACCATCCAGTAAATTCATGCACATATGTATGTACATACATACTAACAGCAACAACAACATGGGGGTGGGGGAGAAGCAGCATGTTGTTCTTCAGCACTGCTATACTCACTGGAAGTCCAGGATCTCCCATGTCACCCTTTTCACCGGGAGCTCCATCACGACCCTTAACAGAAGAAGGGAGACACAAACAAGCATTAGCGGTCACAACTGCAATTGTGTGTAATTGCTGTAAGTGCTGCCATGTAACATTTCTGTTCAGGATTCCGGTCAGCCATGCCCCTTTTTTCAAGATATTCCATTATGCACACACACTCCCTTTTAACAGCCCATCATAAAAAAACACACACACACACAAACCCAGTTTTTTTTCCCTTTATCAGTTGGGCAGCTTCTTGTGGGCATTGAGCTTCCTCAGTCCTCACTGGGATTTAGGCTCCAGCGCTCCACCCCCCCCCATCTCTTTGTACTTCTGCAAACGCTGGCTGGACTTTCCCTGAGCTGGACAAATGCCTCCCTCTTGTGTGCTGAGTCAGACGGAACACCTTGAAGCTGATATCTGCATGTTTTTTTGTAAAAAGTCGTCAAACTTAAGAGGAGGCATAAAAGTTCATTGATAAGGCTTAGGATTTACATTTTAAAACTAAATTTAAAACGTTTGGAAGGGGGACAGTCTGAATGCAAAGTCTTGAACTGAAAATTTGGTGGTTTTTTTCCTTGCCAAGTTCCCCATGTGCTATAGCTACATGTTTGATAAGCTGAAAGCACTTAAGAATGCCTCATTACAAATCAGTGAATCTTCCTGATTATACTTCTATGCTTACTTTCCTTCAGACCGCCCAGGATATTGAATGAAGGGATGATCCCTGCAGTATGAAGAGAGGGATAGGCAACTGCTTCCCTCCAGATATTGTTGGACTTTAACTCCAATCTGCCAGCGTAGCCGGTGGTGAAAATTTGTAGGAACTCTAGTCCAAAAACAACTTGGGGGGGGCTAAAGTTGCCCACCCCTGAATCATGAGGATAGACTGGCTGGCCTAAGTTCACCCAGCAAATTTCATGGCTGCACAAGCACTTTAAACCCAGGCTGGTCTCCCCAGTTCAAGTCAATGTCTGTTCACATGATCACTTATCCCAGCATGACAAAGAGTCAAACTACACAGGCCCCTTGATTCTCCTTCAAATCATTAAAGAATTGCTTTGCTATTTAGAAATGGAGCTGGAAAGAGAGAAGCCTCGGCTTTCCAGGCCTTTCCTCCTCCTTCATCATACTCCACTCCTCTCCCTAAAGCCAGAAGTAAAATCCAACGTATCATACTCACAGGAGGGCCAGGCTCTCCAGATGGGCCTGGGTCACCGGGAAATCCTATCGGGCCCTGTGGTGGGGAAATAATAAGCAATGAGGTTCACACGGCTCAGGAACACTCCCAAAAGGACCACCTTCCAGAGCCAAAAGCAAATGAGGCCACTTCTGCTGCACCTGCGAATGCAGGAGATTGGAAAGAATGTGTCAGCTTGTCTTCTATGCATTCCAGAGGTGGCTGAAGGGCTATTTTGCCTAGGTAGACGTAAGTACCGTGGATGCTCCCTGGATCCCTGGTAGTAACTCTTCAGCGAATATCTGTGAAGCTGTGACTCTGCTGTATGGATCTCAGGAAACTCAACTGTTTGCTCTGCTGGTTGTAGTGGGGCTGCAGAATCCTCTCTGAGAGGTACCATGGAACTGGTGCTTGGGAGGACCACAAGGTCTCTTCTCTGAAACTCTTTGAGGGGTGGGACTGAGAGATTGTTTCCAATAAGGCAGCACTTTCCAATCTTTCACTCTCCAGATGTGTTGGACTACACCTCCCATCAGCGGCAACTACTGTGGCCATGCAAACTGTGGGATATGGCAATTGTAGGCCAACGTATCGGAAGGGCACCAGGTTGGGGAAGACTGAAGTATAAACTTGCTACTTAAAATTCAGAAGCCCGTTACTCACCAGGTTGCCTTTGGCTCCATCTTCTCCTGGGGGACCTTTCTTGCCAGGGGGGCCTGCAGCTCCTGTTTGGCCAGAGTCTCCCTTTTCACCTGTATCGCCCTTCACACCCTGCAAATGTGCACAGAGATGCCAGTTGAGGAAATGGAGGCAAGGCTTTGCAAAGACAGCTTCTCTCTGGCTGCTCACTTCAATCCAGGAGCAAGAGCCATGCCTCTGCTCTGCACCAATTGATCCATGTCATGCCCGGCTTCATTAATCTACCTGGCCTTTGGCAGAGGTTGGCTTGGAGCAAGCATGAAATAGAAAGGACCAAAATGGAGCCCTATATTTTCCCCAGCCTCTCCCTCCAAAAAACCTAGGAACTTACTGGCCGGCCTGGGTCCCCCGAGGGTCCAGGGTCCCCTGATTCACCTGGTTCACCCTAGAAGGCAAAAGAAAGGGAAAGAAAATAGTGAATTTCGACCCAGCCATGTTGTTTTTCCAGATTCTAATAGGGATCTGTTTTCTGCAACTGTATGCTGCTGCACTACAATGTCTTCATCAGCATGGTATCTTAAAAGACACTCTCGGGACCTACTGGCATTTTTGTCCAGACGCTGCTGTTATTCCCGTTCAACAGGTTGTTTGGTTTTTTTTAATAGACCTTAGTTAGCAATGTTTCAGGACAATTTCCACTCGGAGTGGCAGGACAAATGCCTCAGGAACATCAGGCAGATCACTTTTCTTACTAGGAAGTTAGAGAAAAGTTCATTGAAAGAAAAGGAAGAGAACATGCCGGAGCATGCACAGAGTGTGCTTCTTACTAATAGTGAGCACATAACCTGATGTTACATTGAGGAGATGGAAACTCAAGGTGAGAGACTGTCACCTCAAGCATGTTGCAACCCTAGTACCCCTCATAAATTAAGTGCACTTCCTCCCTGGTTTCTGGGTGTTCCCTGTGACTCCCAACTTCTGCCAGAGTGCTTGCTTGCCATGTCAGTACCCAACACACACACACACACACACACACACACGCACACACGCACGCACGCACGCACACACACACACACACACACACACACACACACACACACACACACACGGAGAGAGAGTTAATATCTCCAGTTTCCAAATGGCTGTCATTTTCTCTCCTTATGCTCCCTGTCCACAGTGGCTTCCTCTAACGAATGTTTCTTAACATCATATGCTGGGCAGCAGAAGCAGGAAGGTGCTACTGCCCTTGTGTGTAGCTAAAGGGCTTCCCAAAGGCAACTGGTTGGCAATCATGTGGTCAAAACACTAGACCTTAGTCTAATCCACCCTGACTTTTCTTTATGCCCTTAACTTGCTCCACTTCGTCCATTTTGCTTCACTACTTAACTCACAATTCCCTGAAGCTGCTGCTGGCAAAATGCTGGGCTGTCAGAAGAATAAAAGAAGGTGTGTGTGCGCGCGTGTTGAATCCAGCCCTCCCCTTCTCTGGAAAACAGCTGATGCCCTCAGAGCTGCATTCACTATTAGCCCCGCAGGCAAAAACCCTACAGCAATTCCAGCACTTCTAGAAAGGAGTATTTCATCCAACTCTTCCTCCTGAGTTCATGGGGGAAACTGCTGATCTTTCACTTCCAAATAACCTGGCTTGGACTCACCTTTTCACCCACAGCACCTGGCTGCCCCACCCCACCAGGCTGACCTGGTGGGCCCTGGAATGAAAGAGACAGAAACAGTTAAGAAGAAAAAAATTAAACACATTGTGTTGGGGGTGTTGGGTGTTGGGGAGGGACTCAAACTATTTCCCCAACCCATCCCCAGGAGTTCTACCTTATCTTCTGTGCAGTCCCTTTTTTCTTTTGCACTGATCCCCCCCTCTCTTTTTCTCTTCCTCTTCCTCTTGGCATTTGTTCAGCTTATCTGAGGAATACAGCTCCCAGATTTCCCCCAGCCAGCTTCTCTGCTGACTAATGAACATCTGGAGACTGTCTCTGCCTCCTTGTCATCCAACAAATTACAATATAAACCACCTAATTTATGAACTCAATTCACTAAAATCTTTAACATTGTGTTTTACATGACTGTGCAGGAACCAAAAGTATAACTGGTGTGTGTTTGTGTTTGTGTGTGATAGCTTGTATTTCATGTCACAGCACTTCAAACATACCCTCCAATTTGATGAAAAGCCATCCACCCATTTTTGTGTGATTCCGTAAAAATGGACAAGAGGAGATAGAAACTCACTTTTTTATTCAAATAAGCTTTCACAGACATTTATATAGGCATGGGGAGGGCAGGGGTATGGTGTCTTATGAAAATGCAACATGTCAAGTATGATGACAACCTCATTATCTCACAATGAGATGACAACTATCTTCACTTGAACCAAGAAGTTTCAGGAGAGTTCCAGTGTGACCTGGACCATGTTTTTCCAGAAGTATCCCACCACTTTTTTAATGGGACAAATGGACCAGTCTCTACAAGGAAGAATAAATGGACACAAAAAAAAACCCAGCAACATCCATGGGTCTCTTGCATTCCTGTCACATTTCACCTTCATGCCCTCTGCATTACTATATAAACATTTTTCTACTGAAGGCCTTCTCTATGCATCTGAAGAACTAGATTTGTTCTCTTTGTACCAGCCTGCCCAGACTTTAAGCTCTTCAGCACAAGCCTTTCTCTCTGCCCCATCAACCACACCGGCATCCTTGGTGCAGACATACGAGAGGGCCTTTTCAGTGGCTGCTCCCAGGCAATGGAACTCAATTCCACAGGAGACCAGGCTGGACCCTCTCCCTTTGTCCTGGCTGGCAAAGACCTCCCTGTTCAAGTAGGCTTTTAATATGACAACTGCTGCTGAGGAAGGATTTTAAAGGGAGACTTGTTCTTTTGTCTTCTTAAAAATGTGTTTTTAACTGCTTTTAGCATGGTTTTATGTTGCATTTTACAAAATAATTAAATATGTCCAATGGCTTTTAATAACATGATTTTTGAGGAGACTTTGATGTTCCCACCCATCATGGGGTCTTCTTTGGAAAAGAGCTCCCAACTCAATTCAATTCAATCAGCTTGGAGCTTCCCTCTATCTGCTGACAAGGGTTGGGGGAGGTGTGTGTGTGTGTGTGTGTGTGTGTGTGTGAATGAATCATGTTTATGCTTTGTACTTGCATAAGGTGTGTGTGTGTGTGTGTGTGTGTGATATGCTTTGTACTTGCATAAGGATTATACATGGATTTTGAACTGCACAGGTGTCCGTCACCCCTAACTCCAGTGTTGCTGAAGAGAGAAGTATATATGACAAATTACACTTCTTTCTGCTACTAATTTTCTGGTTGCCTTCCTTAACTCAAGCTTGATTACTGTCCTTTATAATCTTAGGCTCCCTTTTCATTTCAATGTGCTCTGGGGAATTTTATATGCGGAACATTTGCTGACTAAGGTGAAAGTTTGTTCTCTCTATGCTTGATAGTGGTGGTGGTGGGAATAGGATATGCAAGCCGGAACCTTTTGCCTCAATCCTTATGGAAGCACGTACATGTGCGGAAATGATGGAGAATGTTGGACTATCAATACTGTTGGACTGCAACCTCTTTTACTGCTCACTATTGGTTGTGTGTCTAAGCTGATGAGACTTGCAGACCAGAAATATTGGGGTGCCATATTTTCCCAGCCTTCACTTATATAAATGCTTTTGGAAGATCCCTGGAAGATTTTTCCACAGATTTAATGAACACATGTGAGAATTAGGAACAATTTTATTCATGCATGTATTTATTTATTTATTTATTTTATTCGATTTTTACCCCGCCCCTCTAGACAACGTCTACTCGTTATTTACTTTTAAGAGATTTCTATAACTTTTTGCATTCTTAACACCTCTAAGCAGTTGGCAATAATATAAATCCAGTAAATATAATAAAAACATGTAATAAAGCCATAGAACAATAACATTTTTCATTAAAATCATCCAAGGTAATTGACTAGCTTAATGCTTAAGAAAATGCCTGGGCAAACCAATAAGGCTTCATCTGGTGATGGAAATGACCAGTGTGGAGAGCTTGCCTAATAAAGTCATAAACCTAAATGCTTCTTGATCCCACAGATTTCTATGGTACTTTCTTCCTTTTTAATTTCTTCCACTGGGAATTTCAAGACAGCATAATGTCCTAAGTTTCTTCCTACAAAATTATGCACAGTTTAGATGCCTTGCAGAGGTTGCTGCTGTTCTTCAGAGCATTTGTTACCAGCACTGATCATCACTTTCATGCTCTTACAACAGTCAATTTCAAAAGGTTGTGTACAATCCCATGCAGGTGGGACTAAAGCAATGATTTGGAATTGACCAGAATAGAATAATGAAATTGACCAGCAAGAAAGCCTGAAATTGACAACAGCAAAAAAGAGACAGAAAAATCCTACGGGTGATAATATTTTAGGCACAACTAGCAAAGGAACATTCAATTTAATCTTGGACAGAAAACTGGGGTTGGAGGAGAAGAGTGCTCAGCATTTCTCCTTGCTGCTGCTCTGGGAAGTGTTCCAGTCTCCATGAGAATTCTGGAGGAATTCCTTGCTGAAACAAATTGGTCAAGTACTCATTACATCCCTACCACACAAAATCTGTACCTGGAAGTTATTCCACACGGTAGCTGTGTCAACAGAGAATGCTTTCCTCTATGTTGCAAGCTGTGTCAACAGAGAATGCTTTCCTCTACATTCCAATGAGTGGACTTCATGTGGTTGTGGTACAATAACTAGTCCACAAATGTTACAGGGTACAAAGACCAGATTGATCTATGTGGAGGGTAGTGCTCTCATAAGCTGGTCATGAGCTGTTTAGGGCCTTGTAAACCAAGAGGAGTACCGGCAGTCTGGTTTGCTAGCTCATTGGCAGCCGCCTCCTTTGCATCAGTGTAGCCAACATGTGGCCTGTGACCGGCACTGGATTCCCAAGGACCCAAATATGCTCTGTCAAAGCTCCAACCACTTTTATTTCTTTACTTTTTAAAAGGTGGCTTCGAAAATCCCCTTGTGTCCCTTTGGGGGAATGAGTGGATTGCAATGTTTTGATCACCCAGTTTTTCAAAAGTTGTCTTCAAGAAATATATATATTTAGCCATTAGAGGGCACAATAATTAGTTTTCTGTTTTTTTAAAAAAAATTTGGTATGAAAACAAAGAGAGAGCTGTGAGTCTTGGAAGTCCAGGGATGGGCTGGTGCAGCCATTGGGCCTTTTACAATTACCTTCTCCGGTTTCACATCACACGTCACCGAGAACAAGTACCTCTTAGGCGACTACAACTAGTGAAATCTACAAGGGATGTTCTCCAAGTGGCAGCCTTTGTAAATCGTTTATTGCTTCTGGTGCTGCTGTTTTATTGCTTTCATTTTTGTTATATGGTACGTTTACTGGCCTGACCTACTAATCTGTGGAAATCCTTCATTCTTTCCCATCTTTTAATGCAAGACAATCCCCCTGAAAATCCATCTTTCATGGTTGTGTTTACACTGTTTCTAGACCTATTAAGTTGATGATATAACAGTCCAATGATGAAAAATGTAGTCATTGTAGCTACCACTCAATAACAGCTTTGGAATTGTCATTACAAAGTCAATTACTGCAAATCATTTCCATTCAGGCAATTACTTGAAATGTGATAAACTATATCACACAACAGCTCAAAATGCCAAGCCAGTAAGAGACCTCAAGATTGAGGTTTTGGATTGGTGTTACACTCAAGACCTCTTTGGGGTATGTTTCAATGGGTGAGACGAGACTGTGCTATTAGTCTGTTTTACCTGTTTTCTCCATAATCTTTTATTAAAATTTAAGGTAATCATACAGTGTATCCTAAAAATAAAAATAATAACCAATGGCTCTCTAATACTACCATCTTGTCCATCAGGCAAATACTGTCTTGCTGATGCCTCCATCCTTTCCAGGAGGAAGAGACAGTGTCTGTTCAGGACACCCAAAAAGTATGTCCGCTTCCTATACAGGGGAAAGGAAATACATGTAGTACTCACATCTCCACCAATGGGACCCTGGGGGCCTCGGGGTCCAGGAGCTCCTGGTGGACCCTAGAAAGATCAGAGTCAAAATGAAAAGAGGTCAGATCCATAAAGAGATGCTGGCATCAGGGCAGGGGTAGCTGTTATTCTGACATGGTGAAGTGGATGTCTCTTACCATTGGGCCAACATCGCCGCTTTCACCTTTCTCGCCTGGGGGGCCTGGCATCCCCTGTGAAGAGCAAAAGAAAAAGTTCACCAGGATAAATAAGCAGCATTCTCTCTAATCTGCTAATATTGCTCTACTCTGGTCTGTAACAATTAAGTTCTCCATTTGTATGTCTGAGTGCATGGATTGACACATCCATTTCTATATAAGGCACCTTGGGGGGTGGGGATAAAGAGTAATTAAGGGCTTCTAATTAGGGGAGGTGGCTCAAAACATTTTGAACATTTATCACTATATATTTCAAAATTTTAAATCTTGGTCAACCTGTAGATCCATCTCATTTTAATCCTCAACATCTGGAAATTCAATCATAAAACTGTAGAATTTTAAAATTAGCCAAGCCACCTACTTTTAGAATGTTTCACAAAGGGGAGCAAAATCTTGTTGTGTAGTTATATGATCAGAAGGAAAAAGGACATGGAAGGAGTCTCTCCAAAGAATGTGAGAACTGCAAGCACCTTTGGGCATCCCTTGGGCAACACCAGCAACCCATCAGCTGATCCTTCCACTCTGGAAGCACCATTGAATTGCTTCCACCATGAGCAAAGAAGCAGAAGTAGAAGGGAACTGGTGTAACTCTGTGGCATCCAAGTGCTGCTCAATAAAAGAGTCCCTGCTCAGATTCCTGGTGATGCACTGACTGGTGTGAAATGAGGAATCCAAGCAGGGACACATTAGTGGCAAATTGGCATTGCTAGGGCTCAACTACACAGCAAAATGTCTTTTGTGTTGTGTTTGCTGCAGTCAATTAGGGTATTTTTCTTTCTGAGTATACAGAGTAAAGCTAATTGCAAGAAAGCCCAATTCTTTTCCGGGCAACTTGGAAAAAAAAACCTTCCAGTAAGCAATTTCCTCTTTCCAGGCAATTTTTCAAAAATTTTGTTTTAATGATTCTGTCACATAATAGCACTTTATAAGTTCAGCACTGCTTTCTGCCCTCCTCCTTTGCCCTCCCCCATGACTGGTCTGTCTCCAAAAAAAAAAAAAAAAACAAAAAAAAAAAAAAAAAAAAAAAAGATTGTCACTAAATCCTTTCCCTTCACATGTTTTTCCTGCATGTCATTTTACTTTGTTAAATTCTGAATAAGAAACAAAGAACGGAGCTACCTCTACCTCCCATGCACAGCACACAAGTTCCATGTTTCCACCTAAACAGTCTCCCAGATTTTAAAATTACCGCACTGGTGGTATAAGCACCCAGCTGCTGACTTTATCCAAACCTCAGTCCCCAGAAGTATCCTCTACTGATCAAAAGTAGTTAATTAGATCCATCTCTTTCTTTCGCATTTGTCTACCACCTCTTCTTACTCTCTTGCTCCCTTCCATCACTGCTTGTCTGTGTGTGCATGTCTCTGCCACCCTCTCCCCCCTCTGCCACCATTTATTTTTTTTAGGGGGGAGAATGAACAGAAGAGATGGCGAAGAGGGCAGTGCTCATCCCTGGGAGGCTGTTTTAATTCAGGTGACAAACACATGTGGTGTGGACACTTGCAATGGCATAAGTAAGAATTGCCCATGGAGGTGATTACAATGATTTCAGCCATGGGAACCTCAAGTGGGATAGTTCAAAAAGTCCAAATCAAACCAAAGAGACAAAGAGAAAATATGCCTGTGTAGTCAAGCTCTGAGTCTGTATGTTTCAGTACAGCCTTTAAGCAAAGCTGCAGGATTCTTGTACATCCCAGCTTTGAATCCCCATGCAAGGAATTTCTGAATGGGCTCATATCCACTGGGAGAAGCTGGAAAATACTTGATGTCCTCACTGTGGTTCTGTCCAGGACTGAGGAGTGCCTAGACCTCCTAATGTCCTTGGAACAGCATAGCTGAAAGGGTGGGATGATGGAACTGAAGCCCCTCCATAGCTGGAAAGCCGCATGTCTCCCATCTATATACTAGTCTAGCCATAGCAGAAAGTGCCCTACAACTTGCTGCAGACGGTCTAAGTCCTGGACATTGTTGTGTGTTAGATGCCATTAAGTTTTATCCAATTTACAGTGATCCTACTAAGATTTTCAAGTTACATGAGATATATTAGGAACAAATTTACTACCTCTTTCCCCCGTAGTGAGTTTTGAACCCAGGAATCCTGAATCTTAGTCTGTTAGTCTATCTATTATATTACACTGACTCTGTGGACACTTTACTTACCTGTAAACCAGGTGGGCCAATGACTCCGGGGTATCCACGGGCCCCTTCATCTCCCTTCTGACCAAACATGCCCTGCTGCCCTCGGCGCCCAGGCTCCCCATCAACTCCCTGTTAGCAAAGACACCAGATCAGCATTGTTACCGATAACCCTCGGTGTGTGAATGCATGTGTACACACCAACACAGGTGTGCCCCATGTCCCTCTCTGGGATAACTGAGAAACCGGAATGGCGGCAATGTAAGTCCTCACATCAAGAGCCTCAGCCTCTCATCTTGAAGGGCATGGGGATATCCAACATCATGGCACGTGCAGGAAAACAGGGAGGAAGGGACTGAACTTCATCTGGAGGATTGTTGGGGAAAACAACTCCTTCCAGGAAAGCTTTTAAGGAGTTAGAACAAATGAGTTTCAATACAGATCTAGTTGTATATGTTTTTGATGTATGGTACTTACTGCAGAGCCTGGATGGCCAATGGGACCCTGGATCCCAGTTGGTCCTGGGGGACCCTGTAGGAAGAGAGCCAGCATGATGATGCCTGTTTTCCTCTCCTTAGTTCTCCAGCTTCCCCTTTCCCACACTCCTTCCTGTCCCAGCCAATACAGACAATTACAGCGAGTAAGTATGACCGGATGCCAAGCTGCCTCAGACTCACCGCATCACCTTTGTCACCCTTGCTTCCCTTCTGTCCTGGGCCACCCATCTCTCCCTACAAAAGAAAAATATGAGAGAGAGAGAGAGAGAGAGAGAGAGCAGTATGAGCACGTGCAGCATCGCCAGGGAAACTATTGCCAGGTAAACATGTCCCCCCTGAGGAAACTCTTGGCTGTGAAAAGCCATTGCTAGGGAAACCAGAAGAAAATGGTTGCTGTGGGAGATGCTGTCAAGGAAACACAAGTTTCAGCTGTGGGGTGGACTCAGATTCTGCTTCCCTCATCCTTCAAACACAGACCAAGTGCAGGCTGCCTTACCTTGTCACCATCCTCTCCAGCAGGTCCTGGCGGTCCAATTGGGCCTGGAAGTCCCACTGGCCCAGGGATTCCATCCTGCCCAGCTGGGCCCATTGGGCCACGCTCACCCTGGAAAATGAGAGCAAGGGTCAGACGGGAAGTGGAATTACTTGCAATGCAAAATCACCAGTGGTTTATAGAAACTTTGAATTGCAATTCAAAGTGTGTCAACACTGTGATTTTAAGAATGCTCCAGGTATATCTGCATGTGATCCCATCCCCGTCCTGATTTGCCTTTTATTTCTTCTTTCAATGTGCTGAAATTAGAAGCCCATAAATGTAAGGTGACTCTTAATGGTCTCATCTATTGTTAAGTTTGAATGGGTCATTTGGACCACCCTCTTCATTTTACCATTATTCTGCCAAAAACTTATCCTCTAACACTATTTTGATTTTCTTACTGACCCATCGAATTTCTATTATTTCACTTGGTTTTTCATCCCTCTTTCACATAATATCCAGATATAAACTGAATCACCCACACTTTCTCTTGTACTCTTTTTCCCCCTGTATTTTTCATTTATTTACAGTAAACCAGAGCTGGGGAATGCATGACACTCCAGATGTTGCTGGACTACAACTACCATCAATCATATCCAGTATACAGAGTTGATGCTGATGGGAGATTGTTTAAACCAGTGATTCCCACCCTTGGGTAACCCAGGTGTTCTTGGACTGCAATTCCCAGAAGCCTTCACCACCAGCTGTGCTGGCCAAGGTTTCTGGGAGTCACAGTTCCAGAACACCTGGGTTACCCAAGGTTGGGAACCATGTGTTTAAAACATCCAGAAGGCCATATAACTACCATGCCTATAACATGGTTTGCTACAACCCCCAAATTAGCTGTCTCTGCATACATTTACTGTTGTCTAAGTCTTGTCACCCATCAAAGACAGAGAGGGAAGAAACAGCCTTGTAATCATGAGAAGGTGTACATGCACTCACAAAGAAAACACAGAGCATTACATGAGGATAAGAAGTCCATGTAAGAATTGCAAAGGACATAAGATCCAGGTAACAATGAAAGTAGATCTGAATGGAGAATTACTTTCTGATAGATTGTTTTTAAAAGTAGGGCTTGGGAATTTACTGAGATCACATCCATAAAGCCTATGAAATGGCAAAAAAAGATGCCTGCCTGCCAACATATATAGAGTGTGTTTCCTCTGTCTAAGCAAAAACCAGAAACTACCTGGTTCTGGGAAGGGACACTGGGGTCCCATATCAAAGACATGACCTTTTGCAAGCTCTGAGACATGACCATCTTTTACCAAACACAGACTGCAAGTAGAATGGTTCTTACATACCGGTGCCCCCTTCTCTCCTGTGGGGCCAGGAGGACCTTGGTTACCCCCTCGTCCTGGCAGTCCAATGCCCCCAGCTGCCCCAGAGGGGCCTCGCTCACCAGGAGGACCCTGTTGGAAAGGAACAGATCCATATCAACCCTCCTCATTTGGAAACCTCTCTAGCCACAAGCCTCAAGGTCAACAATATTCATCACTATCCTCACCAACTCATGCAGAGACATTATTATCAAGAGTCCCACTTCAAGACTCTATTCTGCTACCTCTCTCCATGTCAGCAGTGACTTAGAGCCACCCTGTCCTCCCTTGCCTCTAGCCCAAGAACATACATTTTAGGACAGAAGTCTTTCCCATAATCTTAGAGAAGATGACAGTCTACTTACTGTGGAGCCTTGTGGACCAGGTGGCCCTTCGGCCCCTTTCAACCCAGTTGGTCCCTGTAGTGAAAAACAAAATATTGAAATATAAGACTAAGAAAAGTGTGATATTTATCATGCATTTGAAACCACAGGCAGATAGACTTCTGTTCAGTGATGAAGCATCTGCACCGCAGGTAGAACTGAGAAAGCCTCAGGCCCAAGAACTTCCTGGCCAACTGGTGCCAGTCAGTCTGCAAGACAGATGGAGCAGTGGTCTCTATCTGTGATTAAACAGTCTCCTAGATTTTGCTGTTTCACAGAATCTACTTTAGGAAGGCTAAATTCACAATAAGCCTCTCTGTGCAGCAGTTCCTCCAAAGTCAGAGGGGTGTGCTAAAAGAAGGATCCCACCAGGGATCAGTGAACGCCATGCCCTTCCTTCTGGCATTGTTTTCAGATGAAAGATGGCTCCTCTAGGGGCTGAGAAAAAAAAAAACAGCCCCATGGGACCTCTCCGTCATTTCCCTAGATTTATAAACAGCTGAGTAAATGGCACTTAGGAATGTGATACATCCGTATTTATTTATTTATTTATTCATTCATTCATTCATTCATTCATTCATTCATTCATTCATTCATTCATTTGATATTTACCCCATCCCTCTAGACAGAGTCTACTCGGGGCGGCTTACAAACAGTTATAAAACATCATAAAATAATCATCATAAAACAATCACATAATTAAATCAACAAATTTAGATGTTCAAGATGGAGAAAAAGAAAACTAGAGAAGAAAAAAAATCAAGTATTGACTGGAGGGAAGGCCTGCCTAAAGAGTCAAGTCTTTAAATGACTCTTAAAAACACCCAGCAAGGGAGTCAGGGTTTCTTGTTCTTTCTTTCTGGGCCTCTCTCAGCGTTAGGCCCCGCAGCCATCTTTCCTGGCTAGAATGAGTGACTCAGGTAGATCTAGGTACTCTTCAGAAAAGTAACTGAAGCAGTATAAAGATAAAAAATCAATATAACAAACAAAACCACCACACTTTCCTGTCCTGAATTCGTGTGGGTTAGGTACTGTGAAATTCTGCCAAGACTGAAAGCTCAGTTGATGGGCTAAAGAATACAGACAGCTATGCTGATAGCCTGCTGCCAGCACAGCTGCTAGAGCTACTTAGGGAAATCTGCTAGTCCCTCTGGAAGGCTAACACTTGCTAAAGATGGGCAGTCAAGTGGGACAGATTCATGGAGAGCCGTGGAAGACAGGTGGGAAGTCTTGGCATATCTACCCCAGCTAGATCGTGCTCTTCTAAACGACACGTGATGGGGATTCTGCTATTGATGGGCTATCCAGGTATCTCTGAATTCTGGATCCTGAATGAGCAAACCTCATCTACTCTCCCCACCATCCACCCGCTTTCTCTTTCTTTCTGAGTAGGAATACCAACCATAGACCAATGGGAGGCAACTGGACTGCAACTCTCACCCATTCTATCCAAGATGGGCAGTGGGGTGGGAACTATGGATATTGCAACCCACTGTATCTAAAGCAGGCTGCCTATCCCTGCTTTGGACATATGAAGCAGATCCTCTTAAGTCCTGGATTGTCACTTCACATGGTCTAGAGGGGTGGGGTAAAAATCAAATAAATAAATAAATAAATATTCTGTTTCACTTTTGGAGATCACACTCAGAGCCCAGACCTCTGAGAACCTAGATGTATTAGGAATTCTCTGGCTCTCCCAAATCAATAAATTAAGAAAAGGAGTGCTTTCATGAAGATCCATAGCCCCACAAACAGCCATGAGAATGTCACCCTGCTGGTTCACAGCACAGACCCATCTAACCCCACAGCGTGTCTCCAACAGGATGCCCAAGGGAATGCCTCAGAAACATCATCCACTTGTGTTTTGTTGCTAGCATCCAACATTTAGAATTAATAGATTTATGCACATGCAGTCTCCACCTAGCTATGAAAAACAAGAGATTATCTTTGATGTCTCAACAGCCTTACACAATGCCTAGTGGAGGAGCTGCTATGACTGGGGCAGGTTAACCTGCAGCTTCTCTGTTCCATGTCTTCCACCACTGTGACCACCCACCTCAAACCTTCCTTGCCAGTGCGACAAAAACTTACAGTCTCTCCAGCTAGTCCTCGGGCTCCTGTGAAACCTCTCACACCAGGAGGGCCATTTTTGCCAGGGATACCACTAGGCCCAGGATCACCCTAGAAATGATGGTCTGGCATTACTCAATAGCCAATAGAGAACAAACGCATGCAACAAACACATATCATTTGGAAACTGTTCACACAAAGGAAAGTAGGTTTTGTTAAAATACTCCTCCCCCCTTTTTTTCAAACCAGGAAACGTACAGTTTTCCAAACAGAAAGCATAATGAGTCAATGGCAATTTCCATAGTATACTGAACAGCCCAGGCAAATCCACCAAAGGGCAAGGGAAATCTGATGGAGCAGATTGTTCATTCATCCCTCTGCGAGAAGGCTGTTCAAAAACTTCAAACCAAATTCTGTTCTCCTTGCCCATCTTACTGAAAACATGTCTCTGTGTAGATGTGGGCCTGCTTTCCTTGCCCTGCCATGCTTTGTGTCACCTGTTCCTTTCTGTAACAAGTCCAGGTGTCCTCATGTATATCTGCTCTACAGTCTCTTTGCACCTGATTTTGCAAATTTCAGGCTCCACCAGTGAAAATGATGGCAAGACAGTGCCCTGGATCTAAAGGCAAATGCAGCCATTTTTCTGATAAACACATAACAGAAACACTGAGGTCAATCTGGAAGTCTGTTTTGGGACATCCACATTTGCAAAACTCAATTCCTTCTTGCCTTCCTGTTTGAGACACTGACACCTCCAAATTCCTTTGAATAATCACCTTGGCACCTTCTCTTCCTGCAGCCCCTGGAAGCCCTTGTTCTCCAGGGGGGCCTGGAGAGCCTGGGTGGCCTCTCTCGCCCATGGGTCCAGTTTCTCCTGAGTTTCCCTGTGATGGAGAGATAGTACAGAATCATCTGAGAGCAGGGAAAGAGCAAAGACTGGTTTGGTTACTGGGGAAGCCAGACACTTGAATCTGCGTGATTTGTTTAGATACACAATACCAGACTTTCAGGCCTCCAGATGTTGATGAACTACGACTCACTTGCGTGCTTCTTCATTGGCCAAGCTAATCAAAGCTGATGGAAACTGGAGTCCAATAGCACTTGGAGGACTGTACCCTGTCAGGCCTGCAGCCAGAGCCAGAGTGAGTCTGCCTTCAAGCAGATGGCCACAAAGAGCAACTTTCAAATTCCATATTGAGGTTCTGCCTCTCTTGTCTCTGTTCACTCTTTATTATCCATTACTGGACTAGTGGCTATCAACTCTGAAATCTTTCCCATGAAAGCTATCTCCTAAATTTGAAAATTTATTTTACTATGCGACAAATCTCACCCTATTGAAATAATTTCCTCCACTCAGTATTTCCTCTATATTAAAGACAGTGGAAACAGTTATCGGGTTTTCTTCCATTATTTCCTCTATATTAAAGACAGTGGAAACTTCAGTTATCAGGTTTTCTTCCACGTACATAGGGGTTTAAGTACTCCAAAATTCTTCATGCTCATTGATTTTGGCCATCTTGTCAGGATAAGGACCTCAACAAGAATATTTCAATCCCTTGAGTTTACTTGATTTCAGATAAGAGTCAGACCAATTTCTTTTCTTCCCCTTCAAAGCCTCTATAATTTGTTCTTTAAAAAGTCCCCAGTCTGCTTTTCCTTTAAGAAGTAAAGCATGCACACACAGGAAGCCTAAAACGATCAGCTGATTGATAAAAAAGATGCCAACAATCCATGTAGTGTTTCAAATTATTAAAGAAAGCAGACACTATCTAATTCAAGGCAAGTCAAACAATTTGTACAGTTTTGTTTTAAAAAGGGGGGACAAATTTCTATAAAAGGCATTGAATTTTGAAATTTTGAAACAAATTGTTTCTGTGTGCACAAAATGTTATTCTCCACAAGGCGAGGACTTTATTAAAGGGTCCTGTAAATTCCTTTCTATTCTTCTTGATGAGGAAAAAATGTTGCAGTTTCTTACCCAAGCTTGCAAAGATGAGATGAGTGAGGATATACATCCCTATATATACACACATATTTTTGTAGCTTCTGCTACACTTCACAGGAAATTCAGCTTAGATGGGGTTTTTTTGATTATGAATTAAAGATTTTATTTTAATTTTTTTTTACCTGAGGTCCTACAACTCCTGTAGGTCCTGGTGGGCCAGTTTTTCCATGAAATCCCTAGAGAAAGGAGAAGTGAAGGTTAATATGCAAAAAAGAAGGTGGCATCACATGAGGAGTCCTATGGGGAATTCAGTTACAACTCATGCATTCACTGGGGACATTCACTAGGGAACATTTCAGCCCTTTTTAAGAGAGTCCTGAAGCACTGACTTGATGCACTCTGTCTGGGACTGGCCCTAACATTAGGCAGAGTGAGGACACTACCTCAAGTAGCAGATTCTAGTGGGTAAGGAGTACCAATTGTTTGCTGGAAGACAGAGCAGTGGGCTTCACATAGTCCAAAAGCACACTGCTAGCACTGAAATCAAATATTCAGTTCCTACTGTGGTGGACTTCTGTATGTGGAAGAGCTGGGGAGGAAAAAGATTTTGCATCTCCCCAGGCAGCAAATGTCTTACGCTGACTCTGATACTGCCTAATAGACACTCAGATGGACCCAGTGCAACATTTTCTAGTTCTCAGGGACTTGCCGCCTGAGAACCTCACAGAGAAACCATATCTTGTTTTAGTCTCTTCCAGAAGAAAAGATGAAAGGAACTGTGGGGAGGGGGTTACAAATATTAAAGGGAAAATGAGGGGAAGAAACCATATTGCTGAGGGGCCTTGAGGCAGTAGCAGCTTCTGAGCATTCTGCAGAGGGTTTACCTCATCCCAGCATTTCAGGGGAGGCACACCTCCACCCCATGTAGCCAACAAACCACTTATGACTTGAGGCAAGACATTTCAGGATTAAGGACAATCAGAAAGGTAAGCCCTCACATAGGGCAGGGTGAGCCAAGGGCGGAGTTTCAGATGTTATTGGACTGCAACACTCATCAGCCCCAGCTAGCAAAGCCAGTGGAGAGGAATGCTGGGACCTGATCTACCACATGAGGGCCATTTTTTGACCATCCCAGGGCTAGAAAAAGAATAAAAGGACTTAAACCACCCTTGGATTCGGCTCAGATGGATACTCACCGGCTCACCTCGCTGACCTGGATGGCCTGGTAAGCCATCCTTCCCAGCAGGGCCCTGCCAAACAGAAATATTTTTCTAAACTTACTTCATTCATGCTTTTTAAAGTATCTTCAATGGTTGTTTTGCAATACTATTGTGAGAAATGTCTGTTGTTGGGAGATGGTTGTGAAATCGTCCATGCCACACAGGATGGGTAGCCCACACTGAACTCGAGCCTGTGCTGAACCACAGTGGGCTGTGATGAAGCTGGACATCTCCAAGGAAAAATGAGAAGCAGCTGGGAAACATCTTGAGTGTGAAAAACCCACAAGGGATATCTCAAGAAGGAGGCAGGGGCTGCATTTTTTCCAAGTGGTCTTCTCATCAATAATATGGGAACAAGGGAAGGAGTAGAGGACTGTGAAATAGGAAACCAGCTCAGCAGGAAAAAGCTCCCAATCAAAGGTCTGAGGACAGAAACTCTTTCCAAAGGGACTTAGGGGCAGGAAAAAGCTCCCAATCAAAGGTCTGAGAGTAGGACAGAAACTCTTTTCAAAGGGACTTGTGGGAAAAAAAGAGCAGCTAACAGGACCACCTTCCTCAGCAGCCTCTCAGGGAGATTCAAAGGGAACACTTAGGACTATTAAAATGTTGAGTCAAAAACATGTTCTGTAATCTGCATGTTTCCCTTCCCCACCATCACCTTCATGCAATTAAATGTTTTAGGAGAAACTAATTCAGTTAAAACACAGTGCCGGTGGCAACAGACACAATGAAATTAACAACACCAGCAATGGAGGGAGTGGGTTCCAATTTGGACCGATTTTCTGTAGCAACAAAACTGTTGAAACAGATTTGTTGCCAAAAAGATTAGCTTCAAATGCTACAAACCTGGCTTTGTTGACATCCTTTAAAATCAGGAGTGGGGAAAATGCAACACACACACAGCTGACACTGTTGGGCTGCAACTCTCATCAGCCTTAGCCAGCACAGCCAGAGGGAAGGGATCACGGCAGATGAAGTCCAACATCATCTGAAGGGTTACATGTTCTCTACCCTTGTTTTATATTAATCATGCCAAGGCAACTCTAGACCCCATGGAGAACTCTCTAACAGAGGTTAGAATGGAGAAGAATTACCAGTGACAGAGGGTCACACTAGAGGCTCCAGCCATACCTCTCACAACAAGTCTGCATGCATAGATCTTCCAACCACACTTTCCCCCCTTATGGCAGGCAGCAGTAGGCCACCAGTGCTAGGTATTCAGGGGTAACTTTGCATGTGCTCATTCCAGAGCCCTCTGTCTCCCTGCTGAAGCCACTGGCAGCCCCTACCTACAACCAGCTTTGGGCTGACTGAGGAAATTTCCCTCCCACTAATATAAAAGAGGGGAGAGAGATGATGGAAGGCATAAAACAGCAGGAGACCATAATTTCATCCACACACACCCATCCTGTCCAAACCACCTACGTGCTGACCAGGATTTTGGATGGCCGCAACAGTTCTACAGCACATCTCTTCCTTTGCCTCATCAGGATTTCCTCCAACCCATTCCAGATTAAATCTGCCCCTGCAATGCATGGAGGGGGATCTAAAGCAAGTAGAGAATGTAAAATGGGATTTTCACATTTCACAGCCTTAATTTTTTCAAAGATGCACTGTGTGGAAAGCAGAACCTTGGCTGCAATCTGGAACCAACACAAAGCCATGTACGCAAAAAGTATACTTTATGTGACACTTTGCGAACTGTCTTAAAACTTACACACAGTCATGAGGGAAAAAGTACACACTGTTTGAATGCTATCGTTTTATGAATCAGGGTATAATAAAAATCATATAGTCCTTAGCAGATCTGGAAATCAGGCAAATGCAACCTCAGGTGAACATGACATATTGCGCTGTGTCATGATTTATTTTTACAAAAACTAAGCCAAATTGGAGAAGCCACACAACCGCCCCTTAATTAAAAAAATTAAAACTAAAACAATTTAGGTACATGTAAAGGTAAATGTCCCCCTTGACAATTTTTTGTCCAGTTGTGTTCAACTCTAGGGGGCAGTGCTCATCCCCGTTTCCAAGCCATAGAGCCAGCATTTTGTCCGAAGACAATCTTCCGTGGTCACCTGGCCAGTGCGACTTAGACATGGAACGCTGTTACCTTCCCACCGATGTGGTCCCTATTAATCTACTCGCATTTGCATGCTTTCGAACCGCTAGGTTGGCGGGAGCTGGGACAAGCGACGGGCGCTCACTCCATCGCGTGGATTCGATCTTACGACTGCTTGGTCTTCTGACCCTGCAGCACAGGCTTCTGCAGTTTAGCCCACAGCTCCACCACTGGTCATTAAAAGAAAGTCTGACTGAAGATAAAAGTTGGAGGAAGACAGCAAAGACAAGGGTGGATGGAGTTCCAAGGCCCTCTCCCGTGTCGCCACCAAGTGCGCCTGTGAAGGTGGTGGGACTGAAAGAGAAAGGCCTCTCCTGATGATCTCAACACCCAAGCAGGCTCATCATGGGAGACACGGTCTTTCAGACAGCCTGGATGCAGGCCATTTAGGGCTTTACAGGTTAAAACCAGCACCTTGAATTGTGCCCATTAACGGATCAGTAGCCAGTGGAGCCACTGTAACAGGGGTGTTACATGATCCCTCTAACCAGCCCCAGTTAAATGGCTGAGTGTTTTGGACTAGCTGAAGTTTCCGAACATTTTCCAAAGGCAGACCCATGTAGACTGCCTTACAGTAATCCACTCGGGATGTAACTGAGGCATGTGTTACCATGGCCACATCTGACCTTCCCAGGAATAAGTGATATTTTTCTTCGGCAGTGGGACCTCCCCTTCATACATGCCTATAGGGGCAGGGGGAGGTCACAGCCATTTAATTTCCCAAAGGAAATTAATGATAGTTGCTAAAATTGAATTTCTGCATTCAGGTATGAAACAGAAAGAAATATTAGGGAAAGTGGAAAGCAATAGGAAATAGGAAGACCAAATATCGAATGGATTAACTTGATGAAGGAAACTGAAGCCTTTAGTTTTTAAGACCTCAGCAGGGCTATTAATGATAGGACTTTTGGAGGCTGTTAATTCACAGGATTGCCATAAACTAGAAGCGATTTGATGGCACATAACAGCATTGTTCTAATTTCTTTCACGCAACAGATTATAAAGCATTTCTTTTACAAAGGAAATAGGCTGGGGACTTCATTGCTATAACTTCTGGAAAATACCTCCAAGAATTAAGCATTAGTTTTCAATCCTATAACCTAAATTACCAAAGCAACAACAGTCTATTCTGTCTGTCTCCAGAGCTCATTCCTTTGCTCTCCCATATTCAGGTCACATTATGTAAAAGAGAGAATATTATCCGAGAATCAAGCGATAAATTACAACCAGCCTGCCATTCGAAGTGGAAATTTGTTAGTGTTCCGGAGACTAAGCTACTCAAGGCAGAGCTTTGTCACTGTGCCATCATACCTGCAAACAAACCCCATTCTTACCCTCTGAACTGTCGATTACAAAACAAAGTAAATTATGAACCACTCCCATTCCGACAATCAAACAGCACTTAAGGAACTCCTTTAATACATGACTTGGCCTTCAGGCTTAGGTTTTTCAATGAACACTTAAGTGGGGTTTTGCTTTCTTTCTTGTGTGTAATTCAAACATAACCCTGCATTTATCAATCTGGTGTCTTCTGGGCTACCTTCAACTGGACCACTCCCACTGTGCTCTTCCCTGTATTACAGTATGTCTTATGGGGTTCTGGTGCTACATCTCCAGCCTTTTTCTAGACAACTAGGAATGGGAGTGGCAAAAACAAGGGGATACCTACAGGAGGGCCTTTGGGTCCTGGAAATCCATTGGAGCCTTGTGGTCCAGTGGGACCCTGTGGAAAAAGAAGGTTGAAAAATTCATTATGGGGTTCATCTCCAGCTTCCTCTCCTAGACTTTGGCTAATCTGCCTCCTCTTTCACATTTTAGACCCCAGGATAGCATCACATGACATCATAAAACGTTAACCTCCTCCCCAGCTCCATAGCCTTGGTGATGTAAAGACCTCTATGATATCAAAGCTTTTCCTCCTGAAGCAGACTTTTGACAGAAGACAGAACTGGAGTCTTTGGCTTTAAATCCTCCCCAGTCTCCCCTCACCCGTACTGATTTGGCCACTCAACTCACCTTTTCTCCTACCACTCCTGGGGCCCCATCATGGCCAGAGTCACCCTGCACGAGGAAGAAAAAAATATATTGTGGAATGCAGAAGACAAGAGTTATGGGGACTAAACTGTAAAATGGCCTTAAAGCGGGAGGGGGGGAGGGGAGAAAGATTTTAAAAGCAGCAAGGACAATAATTGGGTCAGATGGCCAAGCAGGCCAACCTGCCTATTCGGATAAATCACACAGGGCTCCTGACATTCTACTGTTCTGAGCGCCATTCTCAATGTTTTTCCACATCCACATCATCATCATCATCATCATCATCATCATCATCATCATCATCATCATCATCATCATCATCATCATCATCATCATCTCTCCAGTGGAAAATATGTCAGGCGAAGGAGTGTGGACCAACCTCATCTGTCATTTTGTAACCTTTTCTGTTCATGGATGGACTTGTAGCTGCTGTTGTTTTAACATGAGGTCCTATTTAACCATGACATTATCCATGTAAATACTGAAATGATACAGTCGTGGGACATCCATTCCACATGTGATTAAGGGCTAATTGAGACCAAACATTTGTTCTTACAAAATTACCAAGTTCTGTACTGATTGTTTTGGTATTTTTCCCACTGTCCATCTGACACATCTTTTTCTGCTATGTTCACTGCATTTTTTCCACTCCTGTCTAGCCTTTATTTTTATCCCCCCTGAACACATGATTTATTTTGTTATCAAGTTCATTTCAGAGGATTGAATTTAGTTCAGTGGTGCTTTGCCATTAAATTCATGTTTCCATCACTGCCTCTCTCTGGAAGCCTTTAATTAGCAGATGTAAATATACTAATGTTAAATATACTAATATACAGACAGAGAGACATTAACATATATATAAACGCTCCAGAAAATAAGCTATAGGAGGCAAGCGGATTTTTCGAAAGATTTCAAATGTTTCCTGGAGAGAAGCAATCTATAGAGATGTTTAGTTGGAACATGATGTTTGGGTACACATTTCAGTAACAGCTATGTCCCTTTCTCATTAACCAAGACTAATCAGGAGAAAGAGGCTCCCTATTGCTTCCTTAGCACCCTCTGAAAGAGTCCTGTGTTGCCTGGCATTCGCTCACATATTGTCTAGTACTAATGGAGAGAGATAAGGTAGTTTCAAGACTCCTAGGACTTGGGTGTACTGAACAGGAGTGTTTCACATTCCTGAATTTTGAGACATCCTTCCATTTGGTTACAAGCCACTTGTGCAGCAAGTTCAACGTAACTGAGGTTTTTACGTAGGAAACATGCTAAATCCCAAAAAGACCCTTGTACAAGATTAATCAAATGTAACATTTAAATGATGCAGAAGACAGCTACCGTGTTCACGTGGAGTGCACTGGGAATGGCAAAAGAGCCAGCCATCAAGATACACATGTAATATATCTGCATAGGAGACTGAGAAGGGTTGCAGACCACATATGATGTATCTAAGTAAGCAATACCTTTGGTCCCGGTTTTCCTGTGGATCCTGGCAAACCACGCTCCCCTGGAGGACCCTAAAAAAACAGAGAAAATGTAGACTTGAAACTCTTGGCTGCAAAAATCCCACATGGGAATTAGATCAGCTTTCAATAAACCCAGTGCCGGAGTAGAGTGGATTGATGTTATATATGCTCTGCTCTTTAGTTAAGAAGCATGATTTATGAAACCTGTATAAGGCACAATTCTTGGAAGAAGATGAAAGACTGGTAGCCAACCCACCTGCTGCAAGCAAACACAACACCATCCTATGGCACCTTAAAGTCCTACGTGTTTTATTGAGCATAAGAGTTTGTGAAATGAAGCTCACTTCTGCTAATGGGGGGCCACAGAACCCCAAAGTCGGTGCCAAATAAACCTGTTGGCCTTTTAAGGTGCCACAAAGCCTCTCTGCTATTTTTACCAGATAATGGGCCACTCTCGTTGTAGCACTTTCAGGCTTAGCTAGGCATATAGGAAGCTAATCAAGTGGCCAATGTCTTTTGTTATTGTAGTAGTTGGCACATCACCCTTGCCACTATTTTAACCAATGCAAAAGCCTTTCTCTGTCTTGAGAACCAAGCAGGGGGGACGGCAAAGTCTGCACAAGGCAAGAGGTTTTGTGTTCTTTGCACCTCAAAGGTAAACCAACTAAACCAAGCCTCCTCAATCTGGTGATCTCTTTAGTTTGCCTTGAGCCATGGTGCCCCTCCTTGCTCTCCCGTGCTCTAAAGCAGTGGTCCCCAAAAAGGCAAGAGGTTTTGTGTTCTTTGCACCTCAAAGGTAAACCAACTAGACCAAGCCTCCTCAACCTGGTGATCTCTTTAATTTGCCTTGAGCCACGGTGCCCCTCTTTGCTCTCCCCTGTGCTCTAAAGCAGTCGTCCCCAACCTTGGGTTACTCAGGAGTTTTGGACTTCAACTCCCAGAAGCCTTCACCACCTGCTGTGCTGACTGGGGTTTCTGGGAGTTGCAGTTCAAAAGCATCTGAGTAACAAAGGTTAAGAACCACTGCTCTAAAGAGTGAAGGCAGCAGCAGACAGCTCTGGAGACATAGCTTCTCTTTCTAAAACTGACACATATGGATCAGAAAATAAATCAAGTTTCTTCCAAATTAAAAATGAAGGAATATGTCAAGATTCTGAATTCAGCATTCTAAATTCTGCTTTTTAAAAGGAGGCTCAAATTCCACCCTTCAATTAGATTACAGGCATTCTTTTTAAGATACCTACCATTAGACACTTAAAATCAAGTCACAGTGCCTTACACAGCAGCATGATTCCAAGACTGGGCTGTGGTCTCAGCACAGCTACCTCTCACCCTACCTCGTTTTGGATTTATCTTTGTCTTATTTCTAAGTGCACAGGCAAAGGATTGCACCTTTAAGTGGATTTACAAGTAATAATGATGCTAAGAATCAATAGCTGAAATTCTGTTGCTTAGTTTTGTAAAATATATACGTTTTGTGAGGTAAACTGCCTCAAGAAATCACAGCAGGCACTATTTGAACTGTTGCATATTGAGTCACATGACTTGGTGTGCAACAGACAAATGCCTATAGAGATTTCTTCACTTGAGGCAGTTTACCTCCGAAAGTTAACATCTTTTGTGTAACTAGGCAACAAGATCTTGGCCAACCTGTCACATTCAAGAGAACCATCCCAACAGTTAATTAGAAGTGCCAATAAGGATTACAGTTTGTTTTGCTACATATTTCTTTTGGGGAGGTTTTTGTTATGCATCTGAAGCGTTCTACAATGGGCTACTAGTATAAATAAATTAAACATTTTTTGTTTTAATTGATAAAATCATTTTCTCCTTCTTAACATCTTCCATATCTGGATCATATGTGGGAAGAAATGAAATGGGAATACAAATGTAAATCAAATTCAAATCAGATGGATTTAGAATGCTCGTGCATCATTTCCAATGCAGAAATGGACAGATCCTCGATAAATGTATTCCCGGTGGCTACTGCATTCATCAGAGCTTCATGATGCAAAGGGGATAACCAGGACATATAAACTAGTTATACCAATGAAATTTTAAACAAATAACTTGAAGCATTTGAGAAGAGGAGCTGCAAATTACAGCAAAATGCATTTTTAAGGTTTTCCCCCACATATTTAAGAAGATACATCCTTCCCCGCCTCCCCAAGACTCTATCCCACATCAGCACAGGCACTGTGTGAGTCAGTCTTATCCAGCTTCTGCAATTACAGCAAAATGCATTTTTAAGGTTTTTCCCACATATTTATCATTAAGATATATCCTTCCCCGCCTCCCCAAGACTCTATCTCACATCAGCACGGGCACTGTGTGAGTCAGTCTTATCCAACTTCTGGATGAATAGTTCTTGGATGAGTAGATCATTTGCCAGTATATAGCAGGGATAAATTAAATTTTTGAAACAATTGCATTCTCATGTGGGAAAGTGGTTTGGGACTGCATCCTGATAGAGCTGTGACGCCCATCTTTGGTCCTGGTTTCCTCAGCTTTCTGACAAGCCTTTAGTTGTTGGCCTTCTTAGAAGTCATTTTTTCATAAGTCCACCCCAAAAGCAAGCCCCATGGGGCAGTGGTTAAACCACAGAACTCTAGTCAAGCCTCTGCTTGCTACCTGTGCTTAATCCTGACGGGTTCAGGTAATTGGCTTAAGGTTGACTCATCCTTCTATCATTATGAGGTCACTGAGTACCCAGTTTACTGGGGGCCAAAGTGTTCCTTACATAGTTGTTGTAAACTGCCCAGAGTGCTTTAGCACCAAGCAGTGGCATAGAAGTCAAAACAACAACAGCAGCAGCAGCAGCAACAAAAACTTTACAGGAGGCAGTTCATGAAAATCAGTTTGTCCTCTTCTTTTCTCTGTATTGGGCTTTCAGAAATTATAAAGCCATTTTTAGTTCCATACAGAAGCAAAAAAGCTGCTGTAAGTATCCAACACAAAATCTGGAAAACAGAAAGAGACCTAATAGACCCCAGGACTTTGCATCCCTCTATGTTATACTGGGATGTACACAACATGTGAGATCTCCAGAGTTTTGTCCTTCCAACTACACTTGTTCTCTTCTCATCACTTCTCTTATTGGTATTTTTATATTGTCATGAATTATTTTCCGGCAAGAAGTCACGGATGAGAAAAGTACCGGTAGTAGTGAAATTTAAATATAGAAAAAAGTGATTTAATCAAACAAGGTCTATCTTTGCTGTTCATTCACATGATACTGAAAATTATATCTATATGACATCCCTACTAGAGCCCTGTGCTATTGCATGTCAGATGAAAGCTCACCGGAGGACCACGTTGTCCAGTCTGCCCAGCTTGGCCAGCTTTGCCCTACAAAAGAAGAAAAAGAGAAATGGGTAGTGGAACAGGAGTTATACAATTCATGCATGTATTCACGTGCCTCAGTGAGACATGACAGCAGAGGTGGACAACTCTAGCCCTCTAAATTTTGTTGGACTACAACTCCCATCAGCTTGTGGGAGCCTGACCAGTGATGAGGAATGATGGGAGTTCCAGTCCAACAACATCCAGAATTTGCCCATCCTTGTATAATACTGAGATGCACAGATGACTCCATGTCTCAATGCCATTGGTTCTCGAGAAGTTCCTGTTGTACTGAGGCACTGAGAGTTATTAACTCACCGAACTGCATAAATCTGTCATGTTTTGCATGATCCTTTAATCTGGGACAAAAAGAAGGAAATCCAAGAAGCTCTACTTTGCCAGAAGTAGCTGAGTCCCCCTCAGCTCATGGTAAACTGTGATTCAGCTCTTAAGTATGCAATCAAATCAACACTGGAGCAGAGTTGGGAGGAAGCTGTTAGCTCAAATTGAAAGTGATCTGTACAGGATTCGTCCTTGAAATCATGTCTGAAATCAGCTCTTACTCCCAAACCTAGATATTTACATGATGATTGTAGAAATGGGGAAGGCAAAGCACTTTGTGCATGTTCATATCCATTTTCATCTTTTAACCTCTAAAGCTGAGCTCTCCCAAACTTTGGACATTTTAAAAAGCAAGACACTCAGGCTTTGACGCTTGCTTGAACTCTTCCTTGGTGCTTTCTCCCTCCATACATTACTCTCCAAGCTTCTTTTAAATCTCAACTCATCTGGAATCTTCTTCATATATCCACCAAGGTGTCTTTAGATGCCTCTCACGTTTTTCTTTGTTGGAATTATTTGTGATTGTGCCTCCAATATCTCATCTAACTTCCATCTAGTGTAAATTCCCTTCTATTTGAGCATTACTGAACATAATGTCTCATCCAGTATTTCCTTAAGCTTATTGAAATCAGCATTCTGGGAGTTCCAAGTGCACATTGTACTACTCTCAACTTCCTCTTTCTTCAGTACAATGAATCACAAGAGGGCATGATCATGTCCACTCAAACTGCCTACTATTTCCAGCTTCCGGGTTAGTTTTCCCTGTTGGGCATGACCAGATCCAACACATCCAATCCCCTCACTGCTTCTATCACCTTCTGGAAGACAAAGTGGTCAGCAAGGGAAGTAAACAATTTAGCAGAGTTGGACTTTCCAAAGATGCCAGGGTAGCTGAAGTCTCCAACTAGCATTGTATCTCTCCTCTTTGAAGGTGTGGTAATCAAATTCAGGAGTGCAACATGCAAGTCTTCATCCCATCTTGGAGGTATGCAGAAAAACTATGTAAATTTCACTATAGTTTTCCTCTTCAATTTTTCCCCAATTACTCTTCACTAGCCTTCTTTACTCCAAATCACAGATCTTCTGAAAGGTATAATATCTTCCACATACAGTGCTACCTGGACAGTCTATGATATTTGAATATGTTATACTTTTCAATTACTGTATTCTGACCCCGTCTGCTTTTAGCAATGTTGCAAACTCATATTTGCCTTCTTATTTTAAGAGTTCAAGTTTATTTTGTTTATTTCCCATGCCGTATGCATTTGTATAGAAGCATTTTAAACTATGGGTATTTATGCCAACTTCTTCCTTATTGCGTTTTCCTATCTGTTGATAAACTCCTATGCCATCATTCTAGTTTCAAATACTGTACATAACAGACAGGGAGGTTGGCAAGACTTTGGGTCCAAGTCTTTGGCACCAAGTCCAAATCCTTGGTAAAGGTAAAGGCTCCCCTTGACAATTGTCCAGTCATGTCCGACTCTAGGGGGCAGTGCTCATTCCTGTTTCCAAGCCATGGAGCCAGCGTTTGTCTGTAGACAGTTTCCGTGGTCACGTGGCCAGTGTGACTAGACACGGAATGCCGTTACCTTCCCACCGAGGTGGTACCTATTTATCTACTTGCATTTTTACATGCTTTCAAATTGATAGGTTGGCCGGAGCTGGGACAAGCGGCAGGAGCTCACTCCGTCGCGTGGATTCAAACTGCTGATCTTTCAGCCTTGCAGCCCAGAGGCTTTGCAGTTTAACGCACAGCGCCACCATGTCCCTGGTACCAAGCTCCAAGTCCGAGTTCCTATTTAAAATAAGTCCCCCCACAAACCTGGAAAAAAGAAGGGGAGTGGGTTTGTTTGTTTGCTTGTTTGTTTGTTATTTAATACTCTGCCTATCTGGTCATTGCGACCACTCTAGGCGGGTTCCAACTCATGAGTTGAGTCATTGGAAAAAAAATCCCAAGTCAGTCTAAGTCAAGTCACCAGTACAACCTAAGTCCAATTTGCCAGCAAGTCCCTTACTCGAGTCCCCAACCTTGATCACATATACTCTTACTCTCAACTTGGTGTCCCTCTTTTCTATGAAACAAGGTAGATAGACTGCCTATCTAGGGACAAGGAGTTAATACAGAATAACTAGTCTGGCCCTCTTCCCATGTTATAAGCCACCTAGAGTGGTCGTAACTGACCAGATAGGCGGGATATAAATAAATAAATAAATAAATAAATAAATAAATAAATAAATAAATAAATAATAAATAAAATAAATAAATAAATAAATAAATAAATAAATAAATAAATAAATAAATAACCTTTCTAATATATAATTTTACTAATGCTTAGAGAAGTTACATCTCTGCCTCCCGAAAGATTCAATGTATAGCACAGGTTTATAGGATCATTTTTCCACATGAATCAGAGGGAAGGGGTGATGATGAGTGGGCCATGATGAATCTTGGCTAATTCTCTATAATGTTTCTGGATCTTTGCACCAGGGAGGTGGCCCACCTAGCTGCTTCCTCTGCACTCTTAAGTAAGGAGCCACTGCCCACCACTATACAACTGTACCACATCCAAATTTGGCCCATTAGCCTTCCCAGCCATTTTCAATACAACCCAGGAGCATTTTCTCCCTTTGTTGGCTTTTCAACCTCTATCCCCAACTTCTTTCAATAGCACTCACCCGTTTGCCTTTTTCTCCTATGAGTCCTTGGGGACCTGGGAATCCAGTTGAGCCCTATGGAGGAAACAATGCAATCACTGAAGCAAATGACAAGGGCTGTGTGTGTGAATATGGTCTCCATCCCCCACCCCCCCAATCCTTCTCAGGCTTACCTTGGGTCCCTGGCGACCAGGATAGCCAGGCAGACCTGGCACTCCCAACTTGCCCTGGGGAAAGAGGAAAAGATTATAGCTCTCATCTGGCCAGAGAACAGAGAGTGGGGGGTGGGTAGCTAGAAAAGCCTTTGCAAGCAGAGGGAAGAGGGCTTTGCATCTTTAAAAAGCGGCGCCATAGCTCAATGGCAGAACACATCTTTTCAAGATGGGAAGCCTCAGCAATTCCCAAGTTGTTTCGTTTTTAAGGGTTAGGCCACAGATTATGGGAAATATCTCTGCTCGATACTCCAGAATACCTACAGCAAGTCACACTTTTGGCCTAATGGGCCAAATACTTTCCTAAAAACAGACACAGGTATGTTGATAGGGATAGTGACTGCTGGACAGGTCTCTGGATGCAGAGCCAGAAGTTGGGAGTTCATTTCCCCTCTGGGCCTCATTGAAAGGGGCAGGACTCGACGATCCATAAGATCTCTTCCAGCTTTGCAGTTCAAAAGTTATTCTTATTATTTAAAGTTACTCACCTTCTCACCAGCTAGACCTGTAGCGCCTGCTTCTCCAACAGGTCCTGCCTGACCTTTCAGACCCTCAGGACCATCCTCACCACGTACACCCAATGGGCCAGCATCACCCTATTTAAAATTGAAGGGGATAGAAGAGTTATTGCTAGTGGTAGTTATAAATGTTAGTAAATGTTTATAAATGTCCTCTGCTGTTCCTACCAACTTTCACCATTGGGAGTTGAGACTGAACAAAACTGGAGGGCCAAAGATTACCCATGTTCATCCAGGGACTTGGGTGTACATTTTACAGAAGGGTAGGGTCTTCTATTCTGAAGCTGAGGCTTCAGTACTTTGGCCATCTCATGAGAAGAAAAGACTCCTTGGAAAAGACCTTGATGTTAGGAAAGTGTGAAGGCAAGAGGAGAAGGGGATGACAGAGGATGAGATGGTCATGAATAGTAATAAGCTATTTGCATGTTTCTGTTCATGGGGTTATTCTTGGCAAAGATACTGGAGTGGCTTGCCAACTCCTACTCTGGGTGGATGAGATGGTTGGACAGTGTCATCGAAGCAACCAACATGACTCTTTGTGACCCCATAGACCAAAGTACATCAGGGGACAGTGTCATTGAAGCAACCAACATGACTCTTCGTGACACATGAACAGAAACATGCAAATAGCTTATTACTATTCATGACCTGGGCGGACACCACAGGGGTTCTAGATCAAATCAAGCCTGAATTCTCTCTGGAGGCATATTCTGCGGTTTAGCCCGCAGCGCCACCACGTCCCATCATTTACTGTATTTTTAAATTGTGTGAATTTTAATGTTGTGAGACACTTTGGGTCTCTTGTTGGGAGAAATGCGACATCATCATCATTTCTAGCCCGCAGCGCCACCACGTCCCATCATTTACTGTATTTTTAAATTGTGTGAATTTTAATGTTGTGAGACACTTTGGGTCTCTTGTTGGGAGAAATGCGACATCATCATCATTTCCATTTCTCAGGAGAAATGCGACATCATCATCATCATCATTTCTCAATTCTCCCTGATTATTTCTGCCCTCCCTTGAAAGAACCCCATTCATACTTCCAGAAACACTGCAGGACTGGTAAAGGTATTGCTCACCCGGTCACCTTTGGGCCCCATATCACCCTTGAAGCCAGGAAATCCATCTTCACCCTAGAGAGAAAGAAGCAGAGAGAGAGAGAGAGAGAGAATGCTCAGATCATCTAAATATGGCACTGCAATATATAGCATAAAGAAACTCTGCATGTTTATACTTACCTTTTCGCCTTTACTGCCTTTCAGGCCTCGCACGCCAAAGGCCCCCTAGGAAAACGTGGAAAGGAGTGGCAACATTAGCCAAAAGCAAAACTCACTCCCAGGTTATTTATCTCAAAGCCACATTCAGAGGCAACTAGGTAGGAAGATTTGCTATATGATGGGAAAAACAGTTAAGACCAGGTAGCCAGGTAAGAGGTTCTGAAGGAACTAGGTAGGAAGATTTGCTATATGATGGGGAAAACCAAGGCTAGACAGTTAAGGCCAGGTAGCCAGGTAACAGGTTCTGAAGGCTAATGCTCAGGAGCCCTTCAGCATTACTTTGTTGGAAGGAAAGTTGCCACAGTTCCCACAGTGGAGATGGTGGCTCTGGTATTTTAGGAGCTGTAGTCTATGGGCATTTGGCATGGAAAAGTTTCATAACATCCGATCCAAATAATGTTTACAGGTAGGTAGTTGCCATTGATTTAACTGACATCCCCAAGTATGCATCCTTGGGACTATAGGTGAATGCACAGGATCCTGGCTGGAGCCAGAAGACAAAAATCGGCCTTATATGCCATTCTTGGTTGGCAGGAGGTGGTAAGTACCTACCTTGACTCCTCGGGGACCTGGGTAACCTATTGGGCCTGCTGCACCAGATGGACCCTGGAGAACAGAGAGTTCTTTAAAATATGTCCTGCAAAATATTTCTTGAAAAGACTGCTGTAACAATCTAATTTTTAAGGTCTTAGCATAGAGTCAGGAGGCAAGAGGAGATTTCCCCCATCTCTAGCATAGAGTCTTAATATCCCTGTTTGGCTTGTATTTCTGTATGACTGACTCAGGTTTTACCTGGGCTCCTTTCTCGCCGGCTGGCCCTTCTCTTCCAGGATGACCCTGAAAAGAAACACCAGAAATACAGATTAACAATGTATCTGATTACAAATACCTGATGAAAGATGTCTGAATCAGACCATAGATTCAGAAAATGCCATTTACTCTTTTGACACTCAGATGGACACCTTCTTTTATTTTAATGTTCTATTGATATTATTTGCATGTGTCAATACAATATTGGTTACTTTATTTTATTTTATTTTACTGGCCACTTTTGCATTGTACGTCTTTCTTACTTTGTTTTATGGTATTATGTAAACCTGCCCAAAGTGGCCTGGGTTGCCAGATGGGCAGTGTAGAAATTAAATAAATAAATAAAGCAAACTGTGAACCTGTTTGAGAGTATTACGATGCACTTCAAGAGCAGTGGTGCAGGAAGTTGCTTGGCAGGGGTGGGGGCATCTCTTTTATTTTACAGTTGATTCATTTTATCCCCTCCATAGCCTCTGATAGGTGGGTGGGGGAAAAACATTTTGAAGGGGGAGGGGAAATATATCGCATGATTCCTTACTAATTCATTTTTACTGAAGGCCTGGATTCCCAACTGCTCCTCTATAAATAGGAAAGGGGCATACTCTGGTTTCTCTTCAGATCATATAAATCTTTTGCCTTTTACTAAAGATTTCCATGGGGAAGGAAAGGGGCAGAGGAGAAAAGAGTGTAGCGCTAGATAGAGTACTGATAGCAATACAGTGAATTTCCTGATAATACATGCATGTGTCTGCATGTGCACAAACACAAACACAGGTGTGTGCACATATACATATGTGTTAACTTTTGGGCCAGATGTTACTGCTAGTGTGGGAATTATCCAGTGTCGACTAAGTACCAAAGGTAAGGATTTTCACTAAATCAAAGATGCTTACCGGAGGCCCGTCCATTCCAGCCAGCCCTAGCATCCCTTGTTTTCCTGGTGGGCCCTGCCAAGAGAGGAAACAGATAAAGAAAGCAGCATTCTTTGAGTTTCCTGAGTTGCTCAGATCAGGGAAACATGACATGTGATATTAGGGTCTCCACACTGAGGGATATGGCTCCCCATTCTCTCTTTTTATCCAGCAAACCCAAATGTCCAAGAATAGGCAAATCCATACCTGGGAAAGTTACTTTTGGAAATAATACATAATGCAACTCACTACAATACCCTTTTTTTCAGGTGGGCAACAGAAATTCACTGCATTGGTCATTACTTTTATTAAGTTTACTTTACGAGGTGGGGGAGGGGAAACCTAAAAAAGTACATGGCCTACTTTAAAAAAGAAAGAAAGAAAGAAATTTCATCAAACTATTCCATCAAGCACTGTTTGCCTTTGCAAGCTAATAAGAAAAAGTAGCACATAAATATTACTTGTACATTGAGGGGGTTGGAGGAAAACAATGCCAAATGTTGTGTTGTTTTGCAAATGAACATTGCTGCAATCACATAAGCAGTGGTTCCTAATTTTGGATCCCCAAATGTTCTTGAAATAAAACTCCCAGAAATCCTGGCCAGCACAGCTAGTGGTGAAGGTGTGTGTGTTTTTTTTTTTAAGTCCTAGTCCAAAGACATCTGGGGACCCAAGGTTGGAAACCAATGTTCCAAAGTAACACAATGCAGGTGCTGTTCCTGTCATGTCCCCAACTCTGGTCAAATCCTCACTGTAAGAAGCGCCAATTTGAAACTGAGCCTATGCTGGTACATTTTCGGACCAACCCAGTTCATACTGCAGATGGCTGGGCACACACTGTCATGGGACAAATAGCACTTGCTGGACCAGCCTTCTAGTAAATCCCCTGAAATGGTATTTTCACACCAGGTACACAACAAGCCTGGCATGGATTCTAAGGCCAAGCCACAACCTTCTTGACATCAACTTACTTTTTCACCTGGAAGTCCAACAGGACCCTGTGGACCAGGCAAACCCTACGGGAGGGAAAGCAAGATGATTAGAAGTAGGGCAGAAATCCAAAGAGCCCAAAATTCTCAGAACCCTCAGATTCTTCACCCTCCTTTCTGGGAATAACTAAAAACAAAATAAAGCATATATAACATTTTTAGAACATTTGTGCCATAACAAATTTCTGTTAGCCTTTAAGGTGCATCAAGACTCTTTCTTATTTTTGCTCTGGAAATGCCCCTTGAGTCGAAATGTATGTGTTTTTCTCCAAGGTCCAGATCCAAGGTGATGGTGGTGGTGAAACGATGACTGCCAAGCAGAGAGTCGAAATGTATGTGTTTTTCTCCAAGGCCCAGCTCCAAGGTGGTGGTGAAAGGATGACTGTCAAGCAGAAGTCAGCTGTGCGCTGATTGGCTCAGTTCCCGTGATGTCACAAAGGAGTTTATCCTTAAAGTTACACAGCAGATCCTACATGCCTTCAAAGAAATGTGTGTGTGTGAGCTTCCTCTGCTCAGATGATGGAGCAATGAATCAACATGGAGATGTTGGAATAGCCAGGCAACAGGTTTCAGAATAAGGTGATGTCACAAAGGAGTTTATCCTTAAAGTCACACAGCAGATCCTACATGCCTTCGAAGAAATGTGTGTGTGTGTATGTATGTGAGCTTCCTCTGCTCAGGTGATGAAGACCTTCCTCTGCTCAGATGATGAAGCAATGAATCAACATGGAGATTTTGGAATAGCCAGGCAATAGGTTCCAGAATAACCTAGTGCACTGTCCACTTGAAATATGGCAGGAAGTGAAAGACAGATAAGCCAGCATCCATTTCACTGACGTACCTGCCTGCCATTTCAGCTATAAAGGCAGGATGAACCTTATCCCAGGTTTTTGGGTTTTTTTTTTAATAAGTTCTGTTTTCAACTTACACATCTCTCTTCACTCTGCGAACCTCCAGCCTAATACCCTTTCCCTTCAGGATTCACTTTAAAAATGTTGGAACTGAGGCAGCTCATGGATCAAGCAGGAGGGCTCCTCACTTCAAAATTTCAGGAGGGCAGATACTCCCCTGCACTGGCCGTGAGTTGCTGAAGCAACAGAAACTTCCTTCCTAGAAGTACATAGTAGCTATGTGAGACATTTCAGACGGCATCGGGTCTGGGAGGAAAAGGCTAACCTCAAGGTTCCCAATACAAATGGATCTTTAAAATAAGGTTCAGCAACCATTAAGGTGTTTAGAACCAAAGATAATGCCTCTGTGGGCACACAGTACAATGAAAACAAACCACGTACCTGAGGCCCAGGGTTTCCCTGCTGCCCAGGTGGTCCTGGTTCACCTGGAATGCCCTGAAGACAGTAAAAAAGCTTGGCATCAGTGAACATTCTGCAGATGGAGGTTAAGACAATATGGCAGAGAGAAAGAGGCAACCGCATGTACATACTTAATCATGGCTGTGTGATTCAGAAGGAGACCAGGATTTGAGGATTCATATCTTTGGGAAAGAGGGAGTCCTGGCCCCTTGAGCATGTGCCAAAAGCAAGGCTATGATGCAGGCTGCCATTCTCCTCCTCTTACTTTGACAGCAGGTTTCAGTGACCAAAATAAGTGCTGATTGTTATATGGTGGTAGAAAACTGTGGAGCAGCAATTTCTTTCAAGTTAAACATTCCGCACACAGGCTACTAAATGGTTCTGTTAACTTATGAGACGAAAAATCAATTATTCTGTATTTATTATGGCAAAAGATGAATCTATATGACCAAGCCAAAGAGTGTGGGTACTTACTCTTTATTTCCATCCCATGGCAAACAAAATAAACCACTGGTTTGCCCAGGAACAGCCAGGACTGCCTTTTGGCATATTCTGGGCACTTAGGCATGAATCCAGCCAATGACTCAAGTTTCTTAAAGGAGCACTTCTGCCTCACTGCGATGGACTGTGGCATCCATCATCAGAGTCAGTGATTTTGCCAAAAAGGTCCTCCCAAGAACAAAGAGCCAAACTGATATCCATGATTTCATGACTGGCTCTCTTGCCTCTAAGTGGACATAGTTCTGCCAGGCAAAAAGAGTCAGGCTGCATGACCAGAGGGTTAGAGTAGGGCTAATGGAAAAGCTGCATTAAGTGGCAATTTATCATGGATTTATTGTTATGGCAACATGTTAATACACACGGTTGTTCAGGAGCTAGACAAATTAAAAAAAGGAAAAAATTCCCTTTATATTAATAATTCATTTCCTCCATAGCTTAAATGAAAGACTTAAATTGTCTTGGTTGATGCTACTACTACCACTGAGAAAATCAGTAATTGTAAATCCACCCTGCACCCTACAAGACACAATTCTACACCACGCTATAAAATGCAGCCTACTATCATGTCTAAGCACACAGGTAAGCAGAAGGCAGAGCGATATCTAGGGGTTGATCTCTGGGTGATCATTGATACATTAATCTTTATTTTTTATAAGAACCACAACAACAGATAAAGCCTCCCCTTCTCTGTTATAGTGAAAAAATTTCATTGAGTTCCTGAGTTCTAATTAAAACGAAACAAACTCAATCCCACAGGTCTGAATTCTCCTCACTCCTCTTTTAGAGGACTAGGAAAGAGCACCTGAATCCATGCTACCAGAAGAACAGCTCAAGTTGGACTTCTGTTTTCCATCTTCTGGTTAAGGCAAGTGATGGAGAGGATCAGATTCACATAAAGACAATGACATTCTCATCTGATCAAAACCCAATCTGTGGTCAGCTCTGGCTCTTTCAAAAAGAGCTTCCTACATCAAAACCAAAATGGCTTGTTTGTGGACTATTGCCTCTTCTTAATTGCACTTCTCACACAGTGTTATCAGACTCTGTGCTACAGATCGGTTTGGCTCCATGACAATACCTTCAATCTAAATGAATTCTTGAGAGCTAAGAGTTGCCTTTAATTTACAAGGTATTGCCAAGGCTTACACCTATTGGAAGACCTTCTCCTCAGCCAAGATTTGTGGGGGGCAAGCTACAGTCTACACATGCATAAAGGCCCCCATTCCCTTTATTATTCTTGCTTCACTTACAATGGATCTTAATCCAGTCGCTTCTGTTTAAAAGCCATTTCTTTTGAATTCACCAGGGTTGGCTTGACTTCATAGCTCAGAGGGGATTGGGTATATACTGTAATTTTACATGTGTTTTTTCTAACATACGTCCCACCAGGCTCTGGGGACTTACTCCCTAATAAACGCGTAAAAGGCTCCAGATGACATGTCTTGTTCCTACTGATTCAGATAACACTCCAGTTCTCTCCCCCACCATTCCCTTTAAATTAATTAGCTATCATAAATAGGAAAGTTGTTCAAACGAAAAGGTGAAGAAAATGCATTTAAATGTTGGCAAGCAAACTTGGGATAAGAGAATAGGTTCAAGCATTTCCCCCTCAAATCCATTTTGGTTGTGGGTTTTTTTTCCTCCCATCCCTCTTCTTCAAGAGCCCAAAGCAAAGTTGTCACAAGACACCCACAAGAGCCCCCAAAGTTTTGCATTTTGTTACTGCTGAAGAGTTAGATCCAAGATTCAGATAGGAGTTCACACAAGATTCAGATAGGAGTTCACAAACCAACTTGCAGAACACGTTATATTGTTTGCAGGTCCTCGGAGGAACACAACCACTCGCTCAGTCCCTTGCCTTTGACTACTCTAGCAAAGGCTTCTGGGAAGTGAAGTGCGAAGCATTTTAAGAGACAAAGGTTTCCCATCAACACTTCAAAGGTTAAGAAGCAAAAGGTGCAGCTCTCACTCTAGCATAGTTTATTCCCTTAAATGTCCTTCAGTATTCTTTTTTAGAATACAGGTGCACACCTTTTACCATACACAAGGGGAAACATATTTCCCCTTTTTACCATATACCAATGGAAGTCCCCACCATCTGTGCTTTCTTACCAAATTGCCTTTCTGTCCAGGCGCTCCATCAATACCACTGGGACCCTATAGGACAGAAACAACAAGACAAAAGTCACCACAAGTTTCCTGCAAAAAGCAAAATCCAAGAAATGCTGGGAATGAAACTGTGCCAAACAATGTAATATTCAAACAATTATTTTGCACGGATGGCAAAGAATGCGCATTTGGCCACTAACTTTACATAGATATTAGGTTCTCATAGTGCTACTCGTGGTGATGAGACCAGGGGTGGCCTGTGCTCACACCATAAGTGGGTTTCCATGCCAGTTTCCTTCTGTCATCTCCCATACGCATCCATCTCCTACCTTCTATGATTTATTAGAGGTGAACAGAAGTCTAAAAAATATATTCCGTAAGCCATTTCCAAGGGTCAAAAGAAAAAGTTATCATTTTTGAATCAGGTTCTTGAATCAGAGCCATATTTGGCAAAGTGACTATAGGCAGTATGGGCGTAGTCAATGCCATATTTGAAAAAGGCTGGACAAGATATTTTAAAGATCTAGTTCCCGATTTTAAAAAATACTACTCCATGTTAACACATTTGCTATCATTTGTAGTGAGTTTAACAGTTATTTTTCAAATGCCTACCACTGCTTCCTCAAAAGGGAATAATTCCTGTTACAAGCTTTGTAAAATCTGAATTTGATCCACCCTGTCATTTTGAATGTATGTATTTATTTATTTGCTCCATTTTTACCCCTCCCATCTAGATTCGGGAATCTGCTCTGGGCGGCTTACAAAATATAAAGATTAAAAACAACATTAAAATAACTTTGGTGATAAAGGCAGAAAATAAATAAAGAAAGCATGATCCAAGATGGGTTAAAGAAGCTATTTAATGGGAGGGGGAAGGCCTGCCGGAAGAACTGAGTCTTCAAATTGTTTTTAAAAATTCCCAGCGAGGGTGCCAGTCAGATCTCCAGGGGGTAAGGTGTTCCAAAGATGAGGGGCCATCACTGAGAAGGCCTGGTTTCTTGTTCTCTCCTTCTGGGCCTCTCTCAGGGTTAAGCCCCTCAGCTGCCCAGTCTGGCTTGATTGAGTGACACGAGCAGAGTTAGGTGGGGACAGGCGCTCTGCCGGGTATTGAGGCCCTAAACCATGTAGGGCTTTATATGTACGTATTAGTACCTTGAAATCAAAGCAGAAGTGAATGGGTAACCAGTGTAGGGCCACCAGAGTGGGGGAAATATGTTGGGTGTCTTTTCACCCCAGTTAATAATCTGGCAGCCGTGTTCTGAGCCATTTGTAGCTTCCTCATCAGTTTCAAAGGCAGCCCCACGTAGAGAGCATTGCAGTAGTCTAATCCTGAGACTACGAGCGCATGGACCAGACTGGTGAGCGACCCAACATCAAGATAGGAGTGCATCTGGGCAATTCACTGGTGGACCACAGACACCATCTGGGACTAACATCAAGATAGGAGTGCAGCTGGGCAATTCACTGAAGATGAAAGTGGGCAGAGCGGACCACAGACACCATGGTAAGCGCTGAGTCAAAATGGACCCCCAAGATGTGGACCACACTCTTCGTGGTGAGAGTTGCCCCCTCCAAAAAAGAGTGAACTTCCCAAACCACTGATAGAAGGGGTGCCCACCCTCAGGACCTCTGTCTTGTCCGGGTTCAACCTCAGACCATTCTCCTGCATCCATTGCTCTACGGCTGCCAGGCAGCACTCAAGGGACACAACGGCATACACTGCTGTTGGAAAAAAGGAGATGTACAGCTGCGTGTCATCAGCATACTGGCAACACAAAGCACCCCACCTCCTGATGACCACACCCAGCAGCCTCATATAGATATTAAACAGCATTGGGGAGATAATCAGCCCATGTGGCACCCCACAATTGAGACTCCACGGGGCCGAAACGCTCTCCCCAAGCTGTAGTCTCTGGGGACGGTCCTCCAAGAAGGATCGAAGCCAGGCAAGCACCAGACCACCAATTCCCAAAGACTGAAGATACGAGATTGTAAATATCCATATTTTACCTAGAAAAACATTCAGGAAATCTGGTTGCATATGTTGATTCCATAGCCATTAGTCAGACTTCTGGTTTCATTGAGGTGGATCAGGCTTATTTCTGGCCAAGGTGGTATACTGAAACTTCAGCCTTCCCACAGACATAAGTGTCTTTGAACAAAGAAGCAGAGAGAGAGAGAGAGAGTAGCCATGGGACAAGGGGATTAAAGAGCCATGAAGAGAGAGAGAAACCAGACAAAGGGAAAGGAAGTTACCACACACAGGGGCCATGAAGAGAGAGAGAAACCAGACAAAGAGAAAGGAAGTTACCACATACGGGGTAAGAAGAGAGGGGGAGAGAGAGAGAGAGAGAGAAAAGAGACAAGAGACAGGGGTCCAGGAGAGAGGGAGGGATAAACCACAGAGAGAAACAGAGAGAAGCCAACAGGATTTTTGAAGCATTGAATTTTAACCACACTATGATCTTATGGTCTGCATTGATGCTAATATTCAGCAACAAACTGTGCACATCGCTTCACTTCAAACTAGCTACTTAAACAATCCTGCTGAGTGGTAATTATTGACACAATTGGTCATTTTGGGGTTTTTGAAACTGAACCAGCCTCCTTGTGTCCTTTTGTGGTAATTAAAAAAAACATTATAATGGGGGGGATGTAGCTCCTCAGGTGTGATGGAGAACCTTCAAAACCTAGAAAAATGTCTCTATACTCACTCAAGAGTACAAAGGGATGTTTTGAGCTACTTCAATCTCTTTCTTTTTAAAGTGAGGGGGTTGTGAAGAGCTTAAGGGATGCTGGGAGAGACATTTGGCTCCTCCAGGGCTTCAGGCAGCCCATGGGTTGCAGGTTGCCCACCCTTCTGCTACCAATAGACCTAAAGCAAACCACGGAAAGGAGAAACACAAACATTTGCACTGAGTAGAGAAGGCAGCAGGCAAATCTACATTATGCTCCTCGTCATTGCACAGCGCTATAAATACGCAGGACAACATGAAAAGCAGAACTCAGAGCCTAACTGAAATTTCAAATGCTAAGCACTGCCCCAAATTCAAATGCCCTCATCAAGTTTTGAAATACAAACCAGGGCTGAGATGAATTCTATTTTGCTTCTGAATGTAATTCTTCGCATTCCCCAGATCACAGAATAATTATACAGATGGAAAGTAGGAGAGGCCATTTTGTTCCAGCTCTCCATATTTCTCTCTCTCTTTCACTATGATTCAGGAAGGAAGGAAACAAAAAGAATTCATACCGGTGGTCCTGGGGGGCCAGGAGAACCTCTCGAACCAGCCAAGCCACGCACACCCTAGGAGGGAAAAATTGGATGTGTTGGTGATGCCGAAAAATGCCTTATGCATTCTACATCCTTCAAAGACTGTGCCCCAGTCTCAGTTTGCAAGCCTTGGTCCAACCAGGGCAAAATATATGAGAAATACAGAGCATTTTTAATCCACACCACTTTTTCAGTACAGCTGAAAAGAGCATGGATACCCTTTTCCCTCCCAACTCCAGTTTCTTGTTGGTTGTTCCTTGGGTACAAAGACACAGACTAGTGATAAATGCCATCAGAAACACTTAATTAGTAAGTGTGCTTGTTAGACTGCCCATGACAGCCTAACAGAAATAGATGAATTTCCTTCTCAAGTATAAAATACAGTGCAACTATTTACCCAGCATGTTATTAGTCTGTGGAACTCCACAGTTTGGTGGTTTGTATTGGTTCGTTTATTGGCCAAACAAATGTTCGACATTTCAAAGCCCCACCTCCTCCAGCAGGCATCCACTCAGAGAGAGCCTCCAGAGGAGGCGGGGCAGGAAAGCTAGGCTCCTTCCTCCACGCTCAAGTATAAAATACAGTGCAACTATTTACCCAGCATGTTATTAGTCTGTGGAACTCCACAGTTTGGTGGTTTGTATTGGTTCGTTTATTGGCCAAACAAATGTTCGACATTTCAAAGCCCCACCTCCTCCAGCAGGCATCCACTCAGAGAGAGCCTCCAGAGGAGGCGGGGCAGGAAAGCTAGGCTCCTTCCTCCACGTGGGTGCCTCGTGGCGCAGTGCCCCACCTCCTCCAGCAGGCATCCACTCAGAGAGAGCATCCAGAGGAGGTGGGGCAGGAAAGCTAGGCTCCTTCCTCCAAGTGGGTGCCCACAAGAGGAGGCAGGGCTTTGAAGGGCTGAGCACCTATTTGTCCTGTAAATGAACCAGTAGTTTGTGCCCATCCATAGTTGTAATCCAAAGAGGTGTAAACCAAACTACCTCAAACTGCTTAGAGTCTTAAATTAATTCCATCTCCAATGCACGGCTTGACTGAATCTGAGAGCAGATACTTACTGCTTCCCCAGGCTGTCCTGCAGGGCCTTGCACGCCATCGGAACCCTGTGGAAAGAAGGCTGGAATCAAAGATGGTCTCAGGACTTTGCCACTAACTCTACTGGCTCTCACACACTCATAGAGGATAGAGACACAGAACAAAGAAAAAAAGTAGGAACCACTTTTAAGATACAATGTCGAGACTCCAGCCACAAGGGGGAAGTAGTCGTATGAAACTTTTAAGCTACAAAGACCATCACAAAACACATCGTTATGCGAATTCATCGCTAAATGAGGCAATCGTTAAGCAAGGCACCACTGTACAATGTGGAGACTCCAGCCACAAGGGGGAAGTAGACGTATGTAACTTTTAAGCTACAATGAGCCTGGAAAAGTTACTTTTCTGGTTATAAGTACCAGAATCCCCCAGCCATTGCAATCACCCAAGGTCACAAATGTGAAAGCTGTAGTCCTCTAAAATAACTTTTTCCAAATTCTGATCATCCTTTAACACTCATCATTCTCACTTCCTCCATATTTCTGAGTGGCTGGACACTGCATTGTACTGCATGTCAAGAAGCTAGAACTGACAATTATAGCGAATGAGCACTATATTTATACATTTCGTTCTGACGCTCTTGTATATATCAAACAATGTCAGGGAACAACTGTATATTTGCCTCGCTGTTTGTACTGTATTTTTCACTGTTCCTTTCAATATGTATTCTATTGACTACACTGCATTAGTGCTAGTCACAAACAGATCCAATCTTTTCACATGAGTGTGTGCTATATTTTGTTTGGCCATTAAGGGTTTGTTGTTGTTTATGGCAGGTAGCATTTCCACTCACAATATTGTCTTATTTTTGATTTGTATGATCACTTATATCATTCCTTTAGAGCTGTTTGGTGTACCCAGATTACATAATTGATAATGTACCAAGTGGAATGTGGTTTGGGAGGAAATCCTGTTCCTTTTGCCTGTCTTCTGCATGCTCTAATAAGAACTACAACTGCAATTTGTAAATTGTACTTTTAAAAAATATCATAGTTTAGTGCTATAGCAGCTACAGTATAGTGCTAAACTGATGCAGCACTATTTCAAATCCTTACCATGTCTTATCAGTTTGGTGCTATTTCAACTGCTAAACATTTTTAAAAAGAAGAAATTTAAATTCTGGTGAAAGACCTTGGTAAGAGGGTGGTGACAATAGTGGAGAGGGATGAGGAAGAAGGCGGGATTATGTACTGTTATGGGCACTTGAAACATACTTTGCAGAAATAATCAAACATTTTTCTATGAACAACATCAGTGAGTTAAATGCCAGAATGTGGTATAGAGAAGTTCTCATCAGCCCTAAATAATTTCTGTGTAGTCATGCTCTTAGTTAGTCTTTTCATGTTTTTGATGTCCAGATAATACCTGTCATCTAGAGCTGTCTGCTGAGGATTGTATTGTATGCTATTATGGAACCCCTTTGTGCTGCAGGAGATTCTGGTATATATTATGAGGCGCACATTCAATTCCCAAGTGAACACTAACTTGGCCATGACAGAATCACAAGAGTGAACACCATGACCCTGCAAAACCCACCAAATACATGGGCATGTCGTGGAGGAAAATCAGCATCAGCAAGGAAGCACTTTTTCATAGAAGCTCAGCTGCTGGTCCTGATCTTATTGCAGAACACCTGATAACTTTCCAGACCACCCTAGATTCCTTGGCATATTGTGTGAAAGCCCCACATATATAAGTGATGATAATGTGATAAATGATAAAATATCTCCTCTTCTAATTAATCTAGGAAATAAGCGCACATCCAGATCAAAGGGATGCTTTCCAAACTTGCCTCTTGAGTTCCAATAAATTGTGCCAACTTAACCACAGTAAAAATGTTCTACAGGCTTGCGCACATCCAGATCAAAGGGATGCTTTCCAAACTTGCCTCTTGAGTTCCAATAAATTGTGCCAACTTAACCACAGTAAAAATGTCCTACAGGCTTATAATTACATATTTATTTTTCTTTACATTCTTTTTTGTTTGTTTGTTTCACCGCATCGCACAGCCCCATCCCAGCCCCAAGTTAGTGCTCTCATAACTAGTTAAAATCATTTAGGCCAATCTTCTCCTGTAAGTCGAGGGTCCACTGTACGTATTTATTTTTCTTTACATTCTTTTTTATTTGTTTGTTTCACCGCATCGCACAGCCCCATCCCAGCCCCAAGTTAGTGCTCTCATAACTAGTTAAAATCATTTAGGCCAATCTTCTCCAACCCATTAACCTCCAGATGTGCAGGATGACTACTCCCTCCATTCCCACTCCTTGACGATACTGACTACACATATGCAAGGCAATACTTTGGGCTATTGTAGAGGAAATTACCCATTTGCACCCCTAAAACAGATTAGCAAACATTCCTAGGCATTGACTTCTATCCATCCATACCTTGGATTAACACCTACCTTGGGACCATTGTCTCCAGGAGCTCCAGGTGAGCCTGGCTTCCCTACATCTCCCTGTATAGGAATAAAATGACAAGTTAGTAAAGATGCTATCATGGAGCAGTAGTACTGGCACTGCAAACATTTTAATATACTTACTCGATTCCCTTTTTCCCCAGGAAGTCCTGGTAGGCCATCAAAGCCCCTGTCCCCCTATAAGTAAGAAGAAAAGCAGTGTCAGCAACAACAGGAATGTCTCAGTCCTACTGATAACAACCAGTATATCTGCCTGTATCCAAAATACTTAATTTAACAACAAAATTCCAAATTATTTTTTTCTCTTTTCTACCATCCTTTGATTTCATTGCACAAAGAGCTTTGTTAATAGTAAATGAAAATTATCCTTACCAAGTTAAATGTCTATGTGGTGCATTTATATGTGTATTCACATTTGTCAAGGTACCAGGATATAGTGTGGAGCAAATTTGCTACTTCACCCATGTTATTGTTGTGTGCCTTCAGGTCAGAACTGAAGTAACAATGGATTCTTCAAAGTATGTGAGATATTTAAGGAGTGATTTTAGCATTTCCACATCCACAGTGAGTTTCCACGGTTGAGCAAGGATTCAAACCCAGGCCTCCTCAGTCCTAGTCCATCACTCTGCCCACTAGACCAGCAGTTCCCTACTTTGGGTAACCCAGGGGTTTTTGGATTGCAACCCCCAGAAACCCCAGCTGGCATCGCTGGTGGTAAAGGCTTCTGGGAGTTGCAGTCCAAGAACATCTGGATTACCCAAGGTTGGGAACCACCACACTACACCACACTAGGTATCCATTATTCCATCTTACCATCCTGAAATAGAACCCTCAAGATAGGTTTACAAGAATAATCATAAAAAACTTGTGACTTGTTAATGCTGAGTTAAAATAAGAATGAAACCAGTCTAATTATCTTAACATTTTAATTTGTATTTAATTTTATCTATATGCATCCATAATTTTAAACTAGGCAATGCTCTGATGTGAATAAATAAAAAACAGTACTAAAGGTGAGGAGGAGATCAGATCACAGTTTTGATGTAAATTATTGGGCGCATGTATGTCACAAGGTGCATGAAACAGTGGCATTCTGGGAGAGGGGAAAGGCTGCCTCGCTGGCATGTGACATATTTTTTAACTCTTCTATTTAAAAAGTTGTTTAAACTATACTTAGATTGTAAGCGATAGGCAACAGCCACTTTGTATTTTCTGAAATCACTTATCAGGGAATGAGAGTGAGGAAGAGAGAAGATTTTCGGTGAATAACAGTTGCTAGGAAACAACAGTGGGAGGAGGAAGCTGTTGCCCAGACATCCGGTCTGTGGGGTTTCCTAGAGGCCTCTGGTTGGCCACCATATTTTCTTTCATCCTGCATTCACCTCTACAGCTTAAGGCTAAACTGTATGTGATGTTGACCGCACAGTTCTGCCTTTGAGTACTTGAATTTTTTAGCATAGCCTGCTTCTCCCCCCACATATACACACATATGGATAAAAGCCTTAGCATGGTTGGTAAGAAGGCTTTAATCCTTTGCCTTCTCATTGCAAACTTGTTGGGAGGGAGGGAATGCCTACAATTTGCACTGCCAAAAAAGAAAAGGGTCCCCTCTACTTGGATCATGGCTTGGTAGTCTGACACTGCGATCCCTGGCTCTGCTCTAATACAGTCTGGATTAGATGAAGAGATTGTCCAACCTGGCACAAAAAGCTTCTGAGTACTAGTAGCCTGTGATCTAGTACAGATGAACCACAGGCCACAGGCCAGCATTGCTTCTGCCATTTTAGAGTAACAGCAGGTATGCATGTTCCCGCTTTGTTCAAAACCATCAGGGGCTTTCCTCAGGTTCAAACTGAGAGGTTATATATCTCTGAATCCCAGATTCCCAAGATAAACAACTGAGAACATATTGTTGCTTTCATCCCCTGTTTGTAGAGTTTTATGGAAGCACCTGGCTGAACCAGCATTGGAAACAGGATGCTGGGCTAGACCGGATTCGGGTTCTTTTAATGTTCCCGCACAATTTCCTTTGAGAAATGTTTTGTTTCCAAGACCAGAATAAAAGACAGAGAAACTAGGTTGATAGCTCTCTTCTCCAAATACGTACAGTTTGCATACCTGTTGGGTGAAAACTTTTCCTCCTACCAAATGTATCAATTTCAACATGAAAAAATGGAAACTTAACTGGCATTTGACTCATCTCTATGCGCACCCCAGAGCTGGTTGTAAGGCAGGAAACTATTGTGGGACAGGGAATATCATATGTTTCTTTCTCTCTGCCCCCCCTGCCTCCCTCACATCAGTTCTACCCCAAGCTTAGAAAAGTTACTTTTTTAATAGCAGCTCCTACAATCCAACTGCACCGCCTACATGGCCAGTGGCCATGTTGGCAGAGGGATCCTAGAGATCCTGGGAAATGTAGTTTTTTAAAAAAACTTTCCAAGCTCTGATTTCACCCCACAATCAGGCTATGAAGACCTTGGGTCCAGTTTCTCCTGGCAATCCTCTGGCACCATCTGCTCCTGAACGACCCTAAACAAAGGAAGAGGAAGGAAGAGAGAAAGACATGAATGGGAGCATTACTTGGCCATGAAATTCAGCTATAGCCAGGGTGAGGCAGAAGCCCTTACCCGCTTTCCAGTTTTCCCCGTGGGCCCGACTTGTCCCTGTATACCAGGAGGACCCTACAAGAAGAAGGATATAATAGAGATCAAGAAGTGCTTCACATTTAATCTTACCCAGTGCTGACACTAATTTGTGTGTTAGTCAAACGTTATGTTTCATAATCATCATTCTATAGAAGTTTTGCCAACAGATATCTTAAGTTTATCTGAAGGTGGAAACTTAAGGACCTCTACACATTGCTTGACTACGGCCAACAACTCCCATCCATCCTAACAACTAGCTTTACTGACAGTTGGAAACAGGAGTCCAACAACATCTGGAGGACCACAGGTTTCTCACCTGCAAAGAGAAATGTTGTTATGCGCAGTCACAAGACATAACAATATTTGATGCCTCCAAAACTGCTAGCCATGGCGGACTTTCATTGTGACAAAGCAGTTGATTACTGATTGCAATTATACATTGATGGATAGCTCTTTAAAATAGAGCTATCCGTATTTCTGGAACATTAATTTCTGACAGCTTCCACCCAAATCATGTTCCTGCTTTCAGCCTACTTGGAAGGCACACACCAAACATTCTTTATAAAGGATTAATTGTACTCTTTTACAATTTAATTATTGCAATGTAGAGTCTCTGTTTCACTGCCTTTGCTTTGCCCTTTATATGTCATACTTTGAAATCAACTGTTATTACTTCTCTCGGCTTGTACTGGGGAGTCAATATAGGTGGCTGCGGCACAACTACTAAATGATAAGGATGTGCATCTATCTTACTGTTTCTATTTGCAGTAGCAGCCAAGAAAATCTGTAACAGCCATCTCAATAAACTGTCAGAGAACAGCAAAGGTGATGCGTTATCTGATGAAATTAATTGGAAGGTCATGTCGGAGGGTTTTTTTAATCACAGATTTATTTGTTATGCGTTGTTAACATTTATTTGTATCAGGTGCAATGGCCTATGGCTAGAAACGATAAATGCTGATTGATTCCAAATGACTTTTACACTGTTCACACAAACCCTTAAATCACGAACCTAATCATAAACCTTGAAAGGTTTCTGTGGGCTGGAAAGAGATATAAGTGTAAGCAAACAATAAATCAAATAAAAAAATTATCATGGGGAGAGGAAAAGTGAGAGGAAAAACACAAGGAGAAAGACACACATCCATTAGATTGCCCTCCTTCTCAGGAGTTGAATTATCAGGTCCAGATCCTGCCTGACAAAGTAGGGAGAGAAAAGAATCAAACACGAACAGAAGCGGTGCCACAGAACCCTGATGCTTGCTAACCACAGAAGGACAGTCTAAACACATCACTACAAACCACAGCAGAAAAGATCATTAAACCTAAAATGGCTATGTGAATCTCTCAAAGCAGAGCACAGAACAGCAAGCATGATCTCACAGAGGAAGGGAAAGAGCCATGCCATTTATCTACTGTGCTATGGATTCAAGCTTCATGGTTTAGTTAAATGACATGTCATCAAGACTGTCCCACTAGGATAGAGAGAGCAATTCAAAGAAGACAGGTGCTGCAGGACAAGCCCCAATCAAGACCCTAGCTAAGAGTGTGATCAGGTCACACTAGAAAGGATTACTTTAACTGGACCAATTTTTCTTAAAACAGCCATTCTATCCTGCTAGAGAATCACTCCAGTCCTGCCCCAAAAAGGAGAAGCCCTACAGCTCGATGAAAAGGTCCAGCTTGGGCCAGACCAGGTCATGCTGGAGTGCATTTTCCTGTCTGCTGTGAGATGGCTGGAAAACAGATCTCACTGGACTGCTCCACCAGTGGCCCAAACTGCAATCTGTTTTCCCACGTGATCACACCCTAAGGTTTGGCAACTAGGGCTTTAGAGGGTGAATCCCTTCCCTCCTACTTGGTTAGCTTAGCAGCCTGTTCTACTACTACTACTACTATGAGTACAGGACAAGCAGGCAGTAGTACAGGCTTACAAGCCATGTGTTTAGAGAAAGGTAAAGGGTTGTATACCAGGCATCATTAGGGCAGCAAACACAGCTGACATTAATATGGAGGGCTGGTCTACCTGGAGTATGATTCGACTAGGTCTCCCTAGTTGGAGGGAATGGCTGCCAAGGTCTTGGTAGACCAGTCCTTTGGACTGAACAGAAAGTCTGTTTATTTATATTTGGTATGCTAAACTGCAGTTTATACTCTACACATGTTTGATTTGTTACAGCTAGTTCCCCCAAGTTTGGAAGTAACAACTTACAAGTAGCATAATTAATATGTAGCATGTCACTTTGGGGAGCAACGAAGAGGTAAGGAAGCTGCATTTCAAAACTAATGTAAGGAATGGGAATTAACTTATCTTTCTGGTACAGGGGATAACATTTTCTAGTTACATTTTCAAGTTATCCGGAAAGGGCATTTTGACAGGAATGTTTTATGCCATTCTCTTTCTAATTTTGAGAAATTATTTTAAGGTAACAGCAACCTACTAGGGTAACACAATTAATTACTTCTTAAATATTATAATGAGAAAGTACACAGGATTATTTTTTAGACATTACAGCAAGAAGGAGAGGGGATACTTCCACAAAGTTATTTTCTAAGCTCAGGGCTAATGCATTCCCCATATGCTTAGCAGTTGCAAACAGAAAGGAAGGAATCCCAAAGTAAGGGAGATTGTATCTGAAAATGGCATTTCACTGCTCCATCTTTTACTCATGGACCTCATCCTCTTTAGCAACCCACCTGTGGTCCTACTTCACCTGCATCTCCTTTCAGTCCTGAATTTCCTGGAAGCCCCTGAAAGCACAAAGTAAGAGGCAGTTTGAACCCTTCCAAAACACCAAGAAAGCAACTTCATTGAACAATACCAGGCGAGACAAAATTATCCAAACGAAGTCGTATCTGGAATTGTTTCAGGAGACAACCCAGGAAAAGTTGTACATAGATACTTGCCCCTGAAAAAAAGCAAGAGTGTGCCTAGCTTCTCTTCTGTATATTCAGAAGAGGACTAGAGAAGTTGTGGTCCTCCAGATGTTGTCTAATTAAAAATCTCACCCACCTCTAACCAGTAGGGCTGATCTCAGGGACGAGGGAATTTGCAGCCCAACTTCAGGGACATCTCAAGGAAGTAATTTACCAGTAACCAGACCAGAGAATGTCTGTTTCATTCTGGAACAGAACTTACCATTTGCTGTGACATCACAAACTGCACCACAGAACAGCAAATCCTCTTCCACCACCACCATCAAGGTGCACATTCCTTAAAGTCAGCCAGGATATTCTGGCAAACGAAGTGCAAAAAACCCACAAGCAGGTTCCCCAAGTCTGACAATAATATTACTACAATGGTAAATTAAGTAATTAACTGTTTGTTTCCCTTTCACATTGCCTGAAATTTGTTGCCCAAAGCAGCTGCCTCATTCTGACTCATGGTGGGCATGCCTGTACACAAAGCTTAAAAGTACTGTAGCTAATTAAATTTATGAGTTACTTTGCAATTATTACTTTTAGCTGTAATAAGGTACAACAACTATTTTTATTGTGCTAATGTAACATGGGGTGTAATTGCTCCATATGTGATATAATGTAACAAGGGCTTGCCTCATTCCTCATTAGAAGGTACAGCCCCACAAATGAGAGAGAAAGAACTGCAGCATCATGGAATTATTTTGCTGCTCATGCTGTGCCTCATTCTGAATCTGCTGCTAAAAGGCTAGTGTTGCTAGCCTGGTGTGGAGAATTTTGACACGTCCAGAGGCTTATCTCACCTTCTTATGGGACCTTGCAGCAAGCTTCACCCTCTCTCAAAAAGTTTGTTTTTATATATTGAAATATTGAAAAAAAATCCAAAAGTCATGAGATATTCACTTCATCTGGCTATGGAGCTAGAGGTTGGGAGTTCGATTCCCCACTGTACCTCCTACAATGCAGCCAGATTGTGTGGCCCTGGGCAAGCTGCACAATCCCAGAGTGCCCCCAGAGAAAGGGCATGACACCTGTAAAATCCTGAAAAGGGTGCCCTAAGTCAAAATTGACCTGATGGCTCATTACTACTACTACTACTACCACCACCACCACCACCACCATCATCATCATCATCATCATCATCCACCCAGGCATTAATTTCCCCATTCCACAGTAATGTAACAAGCAAGTGAACAGCAATAAGCCATATTCCTCTATGTACTTTTTAATGAGCAATAAGCAACATAATTTCCAAGCCAAACAAATAACAAAGCAAATTACTTGTAGAAAGTAACATTACAGCTTTGTTTGGATATTGGCGCAATTTTGTCACACAGTGAAGGGTAAAAAGTGAATGTCCCACCCACTCCTGAATGCCACCCTATCTGTGACTGAAAGGGGCCATATCAGACAATGGCCTTTACTTACCAGTGGCCCTGGCCGTCCTGTAAGACCCATGGGGCCGGGTGGGCCCTTCATCGAAAGCTGGAGAGAGGAAGGCAGTGATGAGTCTCAGGGAAGTAATTTAACCAGAACTTAGGGTGAACCAATGGGGAACTGAGAGTAAGGAAACATGAAATAAAGGCCAGACAGCAGGGTCACTATGTCATGCAGAAATGAAGTAGGAATGAAAGATGTAGCGGGGGGTGTAGGGAGGGGATTTTAGAGTTTTGCAAATGATTGCTATGTTTCCTCTTGTTCTTATCCTCCTGACCTTATCACAATTGTGTATGCAAGCAGCCTGACTGGGACGCAGAACGTACGAGCCTGAGATGGATCTTTGCTATGTAGCAATCACTCATCTCCAATTCCCTCATCTGCTACAGCTAAAATAATGTCAGTCTACTAGATGTGAGACAAATGAGAAACAGGTAACTCTCTGTCTCCCCTCACCTGGAGTCGGAATGCAGCATAAACCTAAATTAAGCCTGAAAAAAATGGCCTCTTCTTCAATGGACACTCAATGGAGGTGACACTTAGACAGAACCAGGAAGACCTTTTAAAAACTCAGGTAAAGTTTGAGTGGTGAATAACACCCACAAAATATGAGGATTTTGCTTCTCTTCAACTGTGGCTTCAGTCTTTCATTTCAAAATCAACTAGGCAGTAGATCTACAACATTTCTGGAAGAGGTTCCTCCTTAGGTGGGAAAGAACAACTGTTTCTCATAGCACATTCTTTTTCTGACGCATTTAGCTGCACTTCTTTTTGTGATTGGTTTTTGGTAGGTGAGCACAAGCTTACTCAGCAAGTTTAATTGCTGAGCAATGCATTTTGGAGGAAATGGATTCGTTGGAGGAAGAATCCATTAATTGGGATGTGCATTTCCCCTAATGCTTGACTCTTAAGTGTCCTGCACTGGTTCATGCAGGGATGCTTCTAGATCTTTATTTATTTCATAAACTTGTATACCATTCAATCAGTGCTGGGCACTACTCTGGGCAGTTTACATAAAAAGTAAAGTGAATATAAAATTATATATGAGTAACAAAGGAACAACTAGTCATATACAAACAAATAATCAAATCAATCAAAATATAATCCATACTTTTAACTCATAAATCAGAAAAACAAACAATGGCAAGGCAGGTGGCATCGGAATTTTAAAAAAACCATAAAGCATTAAGAGAGGATGGCTTCAAAAGCTTGAATGAAGAGCCTTGTTCTGAGCATCTTCGTGAAGGCTGAGAGGGAGGGGGCGAAGGGCAGCTCCACTGGGAGCCCATTCCATAAGGATGGGGCCACAGTCAAGAAGGCCCAGTTCTAGTAGAACTCTTCTTTGCCTCTCTCAGTGTGGCAACCCTAAGAGGGAGGATCGGGTGACTGGTGTTCTTACGGAAAGATTCTTGGATACAGTAGCAGATCCAGTGCATGCACCATGGTCTTCAGGGCGCCCTTGTCTAGGCAGGGGTGGAGCTGGATGAGTTTTACTGTGACATTGATCTTTCTTATGCATGTTTTACATAAGAGACACATAGCATCACCTTGTAGAACACCACCTCATTTCCCCTGAACTGTTTCCACTGTCTTTTTCCAACTAAAAATTTAAAAAGGTCAAAAAGAGACTTATCTCAATATATATTTTACTTATACACCTAGGAGCCCTCCATGTTGAAGCAACTTAACCTCTCTCTTTTTAAATTAGACTACAACTTTACCGCATGGGGATCTTTTCTTGTAATATGGGAATAAGGATAATGTGAGTTAATAAGCAGCAACAAAGTAGATAGAGGGTCATTCTTGCAGCATTGTATTGATGTGGTTTCCCAGGTGGCAGAGCTTTTGTGACAGACCACATAATGAAGCTTGCTGTTTTACTGTTTGTATGAAAAGAGTGAAAGAGAGACAGACGTAGCAAGAGACCAACAAAAACAGGGACAGAAAATGACAAAGTCAAGTTTAATCGCAACACTGAGAGTTGGATCAGGACATGGACACACACACACTCACCTTTGCTTGTTGCAAAATAGCCTGGGCTTGGGCCTCTTGGAAGGAAACTGAAGGGCCTTTCGTCAAGTCACCACCAAACTGGAACTGGACATGGACCCATGAAAGGAAGTCAGAGAAGGAAATGATGGGATTGTGCGCTCATCATGATTGAATTAACCACAGCATGTGCTACAATCACCCAGGATATTTGCAACTGGAAATGGCCTTTCTCAAGCAAAGGAAACACCCAATCTATTTCTGGATCAAGCTCAAAGCTGTCACTCTATCTTAGTTGCTGGACCATCGCTTGGTGTTCCTCTCTTTAACAGTTTAATGAATGGCAGATTTTAGCCCATTTCTTTTGTTCAAAAGCTAATCAAAACTGTAAAGCTGTTCTTTGTACTACTGTGGAAAGAAGCTGTCTTACTCCACATCGAGCCACATTCCATATCACTTCAACTCAGAGAGACTGGAACAGTTACTTTTTTTTTTTTTTTTTTTTTTGGGGACTATAATTCTTAGTCCAAACACCCTGACATACATCCATCTGCAGTTTTTATCTTCACTTTCTGGAAAACAGCGAAGGGATAACTAGGTCATCCCAAACTGGAATCAGATCAGCACATGCAAGGTTGTGGAATCTGTCTCTCTCTCTCTCTCTCTCTCTCTCTCTCTCTCTCTCTCTCTCTCACACACACACACACACACACACACACACACAATGTCCCTCCTTTTCTCTTCTTGTGTAGTCTCAATGTTCCTTCCATTGGTCCCCTTCCTTTCAGAAGATGTCCCTGGTGCCCAGTTGCACAGTCAGTTCTGGAACTTTTATTTTTACCTGAAGCACAGCCAAAAGCAATGCCTCCATATTCCAGGGAGGAGTTCACATCTCATTTTAAATATCAGCCAGATTCCCTCAGAATCTACTTCCCCAAAAGGACTGGCTATTATTGCTTCTTGCTACAGCTATCCCTGGCTCTTGACTCTCTCAGCCCCTCCACCCCTTCAGCTATGAGACTCCCCTTCTTACATCACCTACCGGTAACATGATCATTGTCCCAGGTGGTCCACGAATGCCATCAGCACCTGGAAGGCCTGGGAGCCCTGGTGGTCCCTGCACATAGAACACACAAGAAACCCCTGTCAATCATTTCCAGGAAAGGTTGGACTAGAAATGAAAGCTGCACCAAGCTGAGACTTGTCTCTCCATACTGAGGTACATTGAAAGGGGTGCGTGCCGAGGATTCCTTAATCTCTTTTCTTTCTCCCCACCACCACCAATGCCTGAGAAGATCAGGAATCCCCAGGATGGAGAAGGAGGAGGTTGGCCCCCTTTTGAGTCACACAGAGATTTCCTTACCCGTTCACCAGAATCTCCTGGAAACCCTGGTGGCCCTGCCTGTCCCATTGGGCCTGTCTCACCCTGGGAAGAGATAAATAGAATAGCAGTAGACATCGTCACCCACCTGAATCCCACACTCCAACCATGTGGCAGCCAGGGTGGAGGTAGGGGGTGAAAGCAGTTAACAACATCATCCCCACAAGTGATTGTAGTATTTATTTTATATATATATAACATCCTTATCGCATTGCCAGATATAGACAGAGCAGTAGGATTCTGTGTGCTTGGGCAGGATGCTTCAGTGGGGTGTTTGACTTTTAATTTTTTTCATTGACTAACACAAGCAGAACAAACATTCAGCTTTATATATACTTATTTATATGCTCTCAACTTAAATAGTTTGCTGAATATAGCAAGAATATTGCTCCTCCTTTTTGGGGCAAAACTTTGGATACACTTGGCTTTTTTTTAAAAAAAAAACACTTCGCCTTCCCCTAAAAATGCAGATCGTGACAGATCATGTCATGGGTAGATTAGCCATGGTTTGTTTTGTTAACCATTAATTATCCTGTAGACCACAGTTTGTTTTTCCCACCTGCGTTCTGTTTCTCTCCTGCCTTTCTGACACCTTCTGTATTAGGAGACATAAACTGCGGCCAAGCTGTAGTTCTAGGTTCAGATGTAATAACAAACCATCATTTACACAAACCAGGCATTGCAAGCCAGCAACAAATCTCTTAACTGTGGCTTGCAGGTGGCTGAGAAGTCATGATTTGTTTTTAGGAAATACCAGGCGGTAAAGTAAAATGAAATGCAACAAATAACAATGTGCTTTATTTTATACTGGAATCCAGCTGTCATCCAACATATACCATTAGAAATGAGTGGTAAAATTTGGGATAAGTCTATGTGACATACGACTACAATTCAGTTTTTCAGATCCATGCTCAAATCTTTTAGCATTAGACCAGAGTAACATTCAGTAATTGGAATGATTATTCTGCTCTCTTACTATCAAGAGACTAGAAGGAATCTAGATAAACTATCCTCAAAGGAAATTATATTATTTCAGTCTACTGAACTGCCACTGTGGACATATTCGTCAAAATGTGGCAAAATATTGCTGCTGCATGGCAAAACAAAGCAAAGATAATGTGACTAGGTGTATAACATAACCATCATTAATTCACCCGATGGGTAGTCCTCATTGCTCACCATAACCATTCTACATTAATCATTTCCCTCACCTGTGGACCAGGGTATCCAGGTGGCCCCTCAAAACGCCTGCCCTGCAGTAAAAGAAAAAAAAGATTTAGTATATTTAGTATATTTTAAATAATTTGATAAGTGGCCAGGATAAAGAACTAGATGGGGACCCATGAAAAGTACAAGTACACATAGAGTTACATGGCATTGTCTATATTAGGAAAAAAACACCAAAACCAAAATAATCTTGTTGCATCAACTACTACATTTATTTTATGGACTACAATCCACTTTTTCAGACACACAAACATAATCCATTTACATGCAATCTTGCATAGCTGCATACAATATATCACAGGAGCACACCCTCTCACATTTCATAAATATTTTAATATATATTTTCATGTGACAACACTAAAGAAATGACACTTGGCTACAATGTACAGCAGTGAGTATATAGCTTGTATAACAGTGTAAATGTGCTGTCCCGTCAAAATAACACAACACACAGCCATGAATGTCTAAACCACTGGCAACAAAAGTGAGTACACCCCTAAGTGACAACGTTCCAAATTGGGCACAAAGTGTCAATTTTTGTGTGGCCACCATTATTTTCCAGCATTGCCTTAACCTTCTTGGACATAGAGTTCACCAGAGCTTCACAGGTTGCCACTGGAGTGGAACCTGTCCTGTAAAATTGCAGTATGGTCTTGGCCACCATGCTGCAGCTCAGTTTCAAGATTTTGGCAATCTTCTTATAGCCTAGACCATCTTTTCCACTCCTCCATGATGACATCACAGAGCTGGTGGATGTCAGAGACCTTGTGCACCTCCACCTTCCATTCCAGGATGGCCCACAGATGCTCAATAGGGTTTAGGTCTGGAGATATGCTCGAGCAGTCCATCACTTTTACCCTCAGCTTCTTTAGCAAGGCAGTGGTAATTGTGGAGGTGTGTTTGGGGTTGTTATCATGTTGGAACACTGCCCTGTGGCCCAGTCTCCGAAGGGAGAGGATCATGCTCTGCTTCAGTATGTCATAGTAACATGTTGGCATTCATGGTTCCCTCAATGAACTGTAGCTCCCCAGTGCCAGCAGCACTCATGCAGACCATGACACTTCCACCCTCATGCTTGACTGCAGGCACAACACACTTGTCCTTGTACTCCTCACCTGGTTGCCGCCACACATGCTTGACACCATCTGAACCAAATAAGTTTATCTTGGTCTCATAGACCAATTTGATGCAGTGTGCGGCGTATGGTCTGAGCACTGACAGGCTGCCCACCCCACCCCTTCAAACTATGCAGAAACGCTGGCAGCACTCATATGTCTATTTCTCAAAGCCAACTTCTGGATATGATGCTGAGCACGGGTACTCAACTTCTTTGGTCAACCATGGTGAGGCCTGTTCTGAGTGGAACCTGTCCTATAAAACTGCAGTATGGTCTTGGCCAACATGCTGCAGCTCAGTTTCAGGGTTTTGGCAATCGTCTTACAACCTAGGCCATCCTTCTGTAGAGCAACAATTCATTTTTCACATCCTCAGATAGTTCATTACCATGAGGTGCCATGTGGAACTTCCAGTGACCAGTCTGAGAGAGTGAGAGCGATAACACCTGCTCCCCCTTCACACTTGAGACTTGTGACACTAACAGGTCTCATGACATCAGGGAGGGAAAATGGTTATTTGGGCCCATTTGGACATTGTCACTTAGGGTGTACTCACTTTTGTTGCCAGCGGTTTAGACATTAATGGCTGTGTGTTGCATTATTTTGAGGGGACAGCACATTTACACTGTTATACAAGCTGTATACTCACTGCTTTACGCAGTCAAGCGTCATTTCTTCAGTGTTGTCACATGAAAAGATATACTAAAATATTATGAAATGTGATGGGGTGTACTCATTTCTGCGATATACTATCTACATGCATCCTTAAATATTTCTAAACTACATTTGTGTGCCTGAAAGAAAGAGATTACAAGAAATATCTGAGATTTTGTATTTCTGAAATGAAAAGTAAACATGTCTTTGTGGATATATGTCCTACATAAACCACAGAATTGGGAAGAGGGATGGAAGCATGGCTTGATTGTGCAGCTCATTGCAAAGTCAGGACAACTGCATACACAATGGGAAGCACCAATATCCTGTTGTAGTCCTTTGGAAAAATATGTATAAATATAATATGCATAGAGTGCTCAACCACACTTAAGATCCACTTTAGGAAAATGGGTTTATTCTCCTCTGTGATATGGGGGGGGGGGAAGCAAGCAAACAAAACAAAAAGCAACAACCAAAATCGACCAACCAAACAAACAAAATAGAAACTTCAATGAAAATTGAGGAACAGGTTTTGCACAGCCAGGTTCTCAAGCAAGCATTCTGCCAAAGAGACTGGGAAGAAGGGTGTTCACCTTGTTCAGGGCCCAACTGCTGGTCTCAACCTCTCTTCCAGAGGTTAGGCGTTTCATGGTTGGATAATATTAGCCATTTCAATAACTGCTTTTCAGACTTGCATGCATCCTGAGAGCTAAGCTCTCCAGGGGGTGAGTCTAAATGGGAGGGACATGGCCAAAGAGCCTGTTTTGCATATTGTTGTGGTTGTTGTCATTTTTCTTCATTTTTCATTTTTACAGAAATAATGCAGTGGCTAGGTGTGCTAATGACATTCTTTTTAATCACACATGCTTTCCATTTTCCCCATGTTGTAATTAAGACAACGTAGATAGTTCTTCAGCAGCCCTTCAGGTCTACAGAGGGATGTTTTGTCATGTGGTTGTTTTTAGTTACATTACCAGCTAACACTCTCTAGTCTGGGTATATTCTTACGGTATGTTTGCACTCTGTACTTTTATCTAGAACATTTTTTTTCTGAAACAGGTAACATACATTTCTTAAAGTGGGTGCTTTGCTGTATTAAAAAATGGGTCTAGTTTTTTTTTAAACAGGATTTAAACAGCAAAATCATCTTGCACTTTTCGGGCAGACACTGTATAGAGCAATGTAAGTTGGGTAGGCATATGGGCCACAAAACATGACAAAATTGTCCTCTATGCCAGTCATTCTTAATGGGGGCATCTGGTTCCCTGTCACACAAAGGTCCCCATGATCTAACACTGGACACTTCACGGCCACCTTCAAATCATTAGAGCTGGAGACTTTTATCCTTCTCACATAGAACACATTTGCAAAGCTTAGTTCGCAGCGTGCAGGGCTACAGTTTACCCAACCTTGATCCTCAAGTGATGGAGGAGGAATGACAATGCCAGCACAGATGAGGTATCATACTTACAGGCTCTATGACTGCTGGCTCCCCTTTTTCTCCCTTCAGGTTTGTTTCCTGGATACAGACAGAAATAAATCATCACAAGAATAGCCAAGTTTCACCTGGAAGAATGGCTTTTTCCCTAGGATCTGGAGCGGGAAGGCAACTTCCTTCTAATGAACCTGAGGAACTCAGGATAAATGGGAACCATTTAAGCTTGCTATTCAGCGACACAGAATGGAAATAAACTGAGCGAGTTTGAAAGGGAGGGGAGGGAGATTGGCTTCTGGTTGTATAAGATGCTGGAAAAGAAGGGTGAAAGTGAATGTGAAGACAGGCACTGTGTGGGCACGCTGTCGCTGCCTTCCCCATCTATCAGTGTGTAGATCAGAAAACCTGTGGCATAGCACCACATTTTAAAGTACCAGCACTTGCCATGATAATTCCCATAACTGTGTCCTCAAGGAGAGTCTAAAAATGCAGGTTTTCTGTGTTAATCTATCTCTGTGCATGCACATAAAAGAGAGCACTAATACATACACAACACCCAATATATGCCAGCTGATAGAACATAGTGAGCTGACAAAGAGGAGCATGGTAGTCAATGTGTTGGACTGTGCTGGCTACACAGACCTGAAAATACATGGGAAAATGAATGAGAAGGTCAAATGGCAACTGAAAACCTGGCTATTCAGGCAAGCCTTCCCTCCAGCCACCTCTTGATTTATTTTGTTCTCTCACCTTGAGTCTTTATCTATTGATATATTATTTGTACCATATTTTAAATGACTTATTTTATATGCTGTTAGCTGTCCAGAGTAGTCGGTTGACTAAATGGGCGGGGTACAAATTCAATAAAAAAACAAACAAACAAACAAACAAACAAACAAACAAACAAACAGCATGCAGCCCCCTCCCTTGCAAGTTAAGACGATCAGCTCAAGGATTTTGCAGAACTTTATTTTCCCAACAGCAGGGAGAAATTTTCATCCCATATAAACCAAACCCAGCAGTTTTCATCTGCATCAGAAGCAGGCCTTTTATAAAATTAATTGACCTTGAATGCTAATTCAGGATCAAGCCACTCCCAAGAATGACAGGTTACCCACCAGTAATTGTAGTTCTTCAAGTGAACCTCTGTGATTCACACCATGGGGTGATCCGTGCCTGCGTGGAGCCTCATCGGAAAGTGCTAGAGCTTCTGCTGTAGCAAAAAACACATTAAAATAAGGCACCTCCCCCCTCGTATAAGTACTTTGGCGCCAGTTGTGTTAACCTTTCAGTTGTGTCAACCACCGCTACATTAAGCAGAATGGCCAATTAGGGAGGAGGACAGGCGCGATGTGTGAATCACAAAGGTCCATTTGAAGAACTACAATTACAGGTGGGTAACCTGTCGTTCTTCTTTGTGGCCTCTGTGAATCACACCCTGAGCAAATAAAAAGCTGTCTTACCCAGAGGCAGGGTGTCACGGCAAGGTAGAGGCTAGAACAGCATGTCCAAAGGCCACATCAGACTTCTGCCGGAGATCAAGTCTATAATGCCGGATGAAAGTGGACGGCTGTGCCCAGGTGGCAGAGGCGCAGACGTCTGGAAGAGGTACGCTGCTTAGGAATGACATAGAGGTCGCCACCGCTCTGGTGGAGTGAGGGCGAATCACCTTCAGGACTGGTTTGCATGGCAGCTGATACACAAGGTGAATGGCTGAAGCGACCCATCTAGGTATGACTTATGAAAATTCAAGGCAAACAGCTGAAAGATTGGGTGCATTGGATGTAAAAGGCAAGGGCTCACCTAATGTATGGAGGATTCTTTATTGGGCTGTGGAAGGAAGGATAAATGGCTGAGAGAGATGGAACTGAGATACGACTTTGGGGAGAAAAGAAATATCCATGGATAGTTTATCCAGAAAAAAACTGTAAATAAGGATAGTCATGACATAAGGCCGATAAATCACTAGTTCGTTGAGTTGAGGTGATTGCGACGAGGAAAACTGTTTTAAAGGTAAGTAGCCCTAAATCAGTTGAAGCTAACAATTCAAAAGGAGCTTTAGTAAGTTGTTGTAGTACTAGTTTTAGTGATCATTGCAGGGAAGGCAGGCAGGTATCTGGGTAGATATGAGATAGACCTTAAAAAAAATTTCAATGTTCGATGCTTGATGAAATCAGCTGCTGGAGAGTTAGGGGGCTGATAAGAAACTATGGCAGAGAGGTAAACTCTCAAGGAAGAGAGGGAAGGCCACTGGACTTGAGATGAAGCAAAAAAACGTAGAACAGTAGGAAGTGATGGGTTGATAGAAGGCAATGAAGAAGCTTCAGTGAAAGATTTGAATCTGTTCTATTTATACAGGTAATCCTTTCTAGTGGAGGGCTTCTTTGATTGACAGAGGACTTTCATTAGCGAGACAGAATCATCGACGCTGCCTGGTGCAGAATAGGTAATAGGAATACCTGGGCGTTGTTCTGTGTGAGGTGGGGCAAGCGAGGGAGGTGGTGAATGTCTGATGAGAAATTGTGAAGGACTGGAAACTAGGGTTGTCTCAACCACCAAGGGGCTATAACAATGGCATCGGGTTTGTCTTGTTGTAGGCGAACCATGACCTTGTGGAGAAGTGGGAATGGCGGGAAAAGGTAAGTGAGGGTTTTGGGCCATTGGCCGATGAATGCATCTCCTTGGGAGTGTTTGCCAATACCAGCTCGGGAGCACTATCGTTTGCACTTTCAATTCATGTGGGAGGCAAAGAGATCGAGAGTTGGTTTGCCCCATCGTTCACATAGGTGAAGAAAAACTGATTGGTCTAACTCCCATTCGTAAGCTTCAGAGTTTGTGTGGCTAAGTAGATCGGCCAATTCGTTATTGTGGCCGGCAATGTGTAAGGCCGTGGGGCAGATATGATGTGCTAGGCACCACTCCCAGAGGTTGACTGCTAAATAGAGGAGACTTGGAGAGTGGGTGTCATCTTATTTCAGAATATAGTACATCACCATGGTCTTGTCAGTGGCAATTTGTACCATCTTGCCAGTGAGGAGATTTCTGAAAGCTTTGCAAGCTTTTATAACTGCCAACAGCTCTAATTTGTTGATGTGAAGCAATTTCTTTCTGGAAGACCACTTGGCGTGGATTTTGAGAGATCTGCAGTGAGCTCCACAGCCTGTGAGGCTGGCATCGGTGGTGAACCTTTATTTGTGGTCATCACTGTCAGAATGGTCACTCGACAGATAGGTTGGGAGGAAAACACCACCACTGAAGTTGGGAGGCGAGTTCTGGAGTGACCCTTAAAAGAGTGTGAGGAGGGTCTGTGAGCTGGTCAAAGAAGGTGAGAAATCACAACTGAAGAGACCTCATCTTGAGACATACGTGCTGCACTACTGAAGTCATAGAGGCCATGGTACCTAGTAGATGTTGCACAGTCAAGGTGGGTACCATAGCATGAGGGGTGAAAACTTGAAGTAATGCGATGAGATTTTCTCTCTTGTCTAGAGGAAGAAAGGCAAACGCTTGTGTGGAATCTATGCATGTGCCTATATAAGGAAAAATCTTCATTGGTTTCAAATTTGATTTTTGTTCGTTGACATGAGACCGAGATTGCGAAGGAGGGCAAGGGTGAAGTGAGTGTCTTGTTGGGCCTTGTGACGGGAATGAGCTACAAGAAGCCAATTGTTGATATATGGAAATATGAGAATTTTTGCAACCTGAGGTAAGCAGCTACTGGTGCCATGCACTTGGTGAATACTCCTGGAGCTGTTGCAAGGCTGAAAGGAAGACTTTTGAATTGGTGGTCTTGTGATCCTAGCTGAAATTGAAGGAATTTTCTGTGTG